AATAAAATTAAAAAAACCAGACTGGATTATTTCCTTTATTAAAGAGCACACAAAGCTAGCTGAACCTGGTGATGGACGGGTACAAACCAAATCCGGACCGGATGATGTGCTTCATAGACGGGTCCAAAACGGACTATGACTGGATGATGAGTTTTATGCACGAGTCCAAAACGGACCCGGATCGGATGGTGTGCCAAAGGAGTGAGTAGGACCTGGCTGCAGACATCAGCTGGTGTGTCGAGAGCAAGATGGCGTGTCATTACTTTTACCGGAAAATCGACGAGCGAAAGACCTCGGCAGGAAGTTGGTCTTTTTTTTGGCGGCCGTTACCTTGTTTTTGTTTCAACCATATTCGGCGGGTTTCAATTGAGGAAAGGTAAGGATAAGAATGATGGATAAAGAAAGAAAGATAACGATGAAATTAACTAATTGTTGCAACCGTTCTTAGTTCTTAAATGTAGGCACTATAGCGTTTAAAGCTTTACCAGAGAATTATTGCAAAGGCACCGTGTTTCATAGCTAATTGTATCAATATTAACACGCAGTCTTAAAACGAATGCAGGGAGTTCACAAGCTAGCTAACACAAAAGCTACATAAATAAAGCAATCAGCAATTGTAGCTTAGCTTTAACTTAGCTATTTGATTTTTCTGGTCTCCCTGTTTGTTAAAACAGTTAAAGTAATAATATTAACTTTATATATAATTTAGATATCATATAAAGACCACGATTTCTAATACTGACTTGACTGAAACGTTATTAATACCCTTTTTTAATTAAAAAGCGTAGATTTTCAGAGATTCGTAAGTGGTTTCAATCACTAGTTTTCATACGAGGCTAAAGTTAGCTTCCGATTCGGGAAATGGCTAAAGGGCTAATACACCCAATTTTTCTCTACTCTGACCATTTTTATTCTGCTCTAGCTCAAAACCTACAATACATACACTCTTCAAACCTGTTTTAGATTATTCTGGGCTCGTAGGAATGCAGTTTGTGATTTGTGAAACCTTCCTCTGATTTGTGAAACTTCAAAAAAGACAGATTTATGAATTTATTTTTCAGCATCTGGCCCACACTGGAACTGGTCCTGTGCACCCAGAAATAAAATGTATTTTCTGGACAAGCTTAGCTTTCAATATCTCTAAATATTTTTCAGTTATTGTGTGGTATTGTTCTGGGTCATTCAACTGTGGTTGCACAAATCAGGTGTCCTGCAACAGGTACAATAACTTTGAAATAGTAGCCGCTTCTCTAATTAATGCCGCCCTCCTTCTGATTCTGTTTCAGAATAATCCTATCCTTATAAAAAATAGATATTTTTGTCCACTGACTGCTTTGATCGGGTTTGGTTTATATTAATATTACCGGATTTCAGCACATGTAGCTGCAAATCATTCAGGAGTTAGAGGCCTTAAATATAGATCTAAAATGAATATCGGACTTCTTCAAGTGACCCTGACAAAACTCCTTACATGTGCTTGTATTCTTCATTTGCTAATAAGATGTATTTTTATCTAAATTACAGGACAATCGAGGCTTTGAAAAATGGAACCCAGGCAGTGATTTCAGATGGTGAAATCAAGGTAATGTTTAATTATAATAAATTAAGACTCTAAAATTGGACATAGGATAATGCAATCCCTTGTTTTCTGAGGTAATGTTGCTTATTTTTAACTCTTGTCTTTACTCAGACTCTGTATAAGGATCTCTGCAGCGGTAGAGTGAAGTCTGGCCTCATGTATCTGTGGCACAATCCAGGTGTCTCGCTTAAATTAAAGCAAAGACTAAAGCCACTGATGTTCCACTTTGCTGATGCACAGGTAAATGTATACTGACTTTTAATAAGCTGCATCACATTTATTTATGTGGATGCGTGGTCAGTGGGCCACCTGGGTCTGTTGTCTAATGCTGAGAGGAACGTTTTGTTCATTTTTATGTTAACTTGTTTTATAGGTTGACGAGCTGACAGAGCGGATTGGTTCATGCTCTGGAATAGATAAACTAATAAAGAAGGGAGAGTTCCAGTTTCTGGACTTGGTGTTTGATGTCCTTGTTCCAGAGGTACAACGCAGTCTTCAGCAGTGATTGGTATAAAAGTTACTTTTCGAAAACATTTGACAGTGTATGAAGTAATCCTTAACAGAGTTTGGTGGCAGGAGAATCTCGTCTCTGCTTTTTGCGGATGATGTGGTCCTCCTAGCTTCACCCAGCTCTGACCTTCAGCTCTTGCTGGGTAGGTTCGCGGCCGAGTGTGAAGTGGCTGGGATGAGGATCAGCACCTCCAAATCCATGGTTCTCGACCGGAAAAGGGTGGCTTGCCAACTCCGGGTCGGGGGAGAGGTCCTACCTCAAGAGGAGGAGTTTAAGTATCTCTGGGTCTTGTTCACGAGTGACGGTAGGAGGGATCGGGAGATCGACAGGCGGATTGGTTCAGCGTCTGCAGTGATGCGGACGCTGAACCAATCTGTCGAAGAGGGAGCTGAGCCAGAAAGCCAGGCTCTCGATTTACCGGTCGATCTACGTCCCAATCCTCACCTATGGTCATGAGCTTTGGGTGATGACCGAAAGAACAAGATCGCGGATACAAGCGGCCAAAATGAGTTTCCTCCGTAGGGTGGCCGGGCTCAGCCTTAGAGATAGGGTGAGGAGCTCGGACATTCGGGAGGGACTCGGAGTAGAACCGCTGCTCCTCCGGATCGAAAGGAGCCAGTTGAGGTGGTTTGGGCATCTGGTCAGGATGCCTCCTGGACGCCTCCCCGGGGAGGTGTTTCGGGCAGGTCCTGCCGGCAGGAGGCCCCCGGGTCGACCCAGGACACGTTGGAGAGGTTACATCTCCAATCTGGTCCGGGAACACCTTGGGGTCCTGCCGGAGGAGCTGGTGGAGGTGGCCGGGGAGAGGACGGTCTGGAGCTCCCTAGTTGGGATGCTGCCCCCACGACCTGGACCCTGATAAGTGGAAGAAGACGACGACGTTGAAGTAATCCTGCATGTTTTTCAGGTAACAATAAATGTGTTGGAAAAATGGGAGGGGATGAATCGATATGCAGCTGAGAAAGCCATGCTTCAGCAAATTCATTTGTACCCAAAATAAAATGGTTGTGAAATTAAGTGTTTCTTTGGTTTTATTGTCTTTCACTCAAAATAAATACCAACTAGCTAAATAGTTATCAGCTGTAGTAGTTAAATTCTGTTGCAATGAGCTCCTGTGATACACAATAGGACAGTGTTATGGATATTTAATAACTAATTTTTGTTGCTGGTGAGAGAGGAGTGTTGCTGAAATGTTTTTCACTGCTTCTGGGAGTCCTGTACTTTAGCTATTGGTGTAGGTCAAAAGTTCATCTTGGGCTTAACAATAAAACTGAATATTTAGCAAGTACTATTTTGTTTGCACATTTTGAAAAGTCTTAGTTTAATGTGTTATCATTTTTTCCATAAGTTTTTTAAATTCACTTTACAGCCTTTTATTGTGTGTGTGTGTGTGTGTGTATATATATATATATATATATATATATATATATATATATATATATATATATATATATATATATGTATGTATGTGCTACTGTCATAAAAAGTCCCTGTCTGAAGGACAAAGGGGTTTAATATTCAATTTTCATGCAACGCAGGTAACAACATTACTTAAGTTTGCCAGTCCAGATCTGAAGAGAATAAAAAAATCCGAAATAAAAAGCTTTTTCCGGTAAGTTTTGTTTTTTAAAAAACTACTTCCAGTGAAAGTAATGACTTCTGGTTAAGGTAATGACCCACCGTGTAATTTTTCTCTTAAATATGTACAAATCGAAGAGAAAAACGACACGGTATGGTTTTGACAAATTCAAACTACTTTTGTGCTTTGTCAATAAAGCGTATTCAAGAAAAAAAAACTACTTCCGGCAAAGGTTATGACCCGAAAAAAAACTACTTCCGGCAAAGGTAATGACTTCCGGTGAAGTTAATGACACTTGTTTTTCCGGATACGTCATTTCCTGTCACGGCAAAGACGCCAGCTGATGTCTGCAGCCAGATGCTCTTGAAAGGAGTTGATCCGGACAGACTCCTCACCGGATATGATCCGGAATCGGATCCATGATCATGATCCGTTCCGGATCTTTTCCGGAGAGCAAGTGGACTCCGATACGGGTCCGTTTTGCTGATCCGTTCCAAAGCTTACGGTACCTTCAGGACGGATCCAGTCTGGAGTCCGTTTGCTATCTGGGGTTGGAGAGGTTACATCTCCAATCTGGTCCTGGAACGCCTTGGGGTCCTGCCGGAGGAGATGGTGGAGGTGGCCGGGGAGAGGACGGTCTGGAGCTCCCTAGTTGGGATGCTGCCCCCGCGACCTGGACCCGGATAAGCGGAGGAAGACGACGATCTTCACCCGTGTGTCACACGTCAAGTGAACATGAAGCTGACAATCCATATACGCCGTTACGTCTAAAGCGAGGTGCTAACCACAAAAGCTTCTGCAGCTCACACTTCAACAACAGATTGTGAAAGAAAGGAAAAAGCTAGAAACACGCTGATTCATCCTGATTGAAGAAGCGAGTCTACTCTTTCTGTTGGTAGTTTTGATGTTTACATGGTGATAGAGTGCAATATTCTGTGAAATGCTGGCAGTCAGGGGCTTTCAGCTGGCAGTGAACGAGTTAAAAAGACAAACAAAGAGAGGAGATAGGTTTCTCCACTAACCGGACACTATGGGGTGCTAAAAGAAAGCCAGAAATACCAAGTGTGCCTTTAAACATCTCGAGAAGGATCGGATGTTAAATTAACCAGGATTGATTTAGCAAAAAATACAAATGAGAAATCTGGGATGTTTATCAGAAGGTGAAGTGTGTATGATTTAATACTCTCCACAGCAACCAGAATAACAGCCCGTCTAATTGGACCATAACTTACATCACTGAGCAACATTTGCACATTAACCTGATTTCTATTATAAATGACACAAAAAAGTCTGTATGACTGTAAAACAAAAAGAAAAAACATTACTGCAGCAAAAGTTTGAATCTTTTAATCACAACATCTAATAAAAGAATTTCTATGTTGAATAAAAACAAGAATTGTGGTTTAAAATGTGCCTTTTTTTCCACCACACAGCACAAACGTATGTCCATGAGTAGATTTAGAGCCAAAAAATAAAAAAAACAAACATTCACATTTAAATAACACAATTGGTTTGAAAATGTAGTGCAAATTTACATCCTTGCAGCTTTAAAAGTCTAAATAAAACCGATTTAATGAGGAAATCATTTAGTGTTAAGATCCCCCCCCCCCCCCCTAACCCGTTGCTATGGCAGCAAAGACAAGCTGGTTGTAAGGTGAGTAAAATCAACGAACGCACGTGTTCATGTTCTTCTGCTGGCTGACGGCTGGTGCACACACTTGTGAACACCGATTACCTGAGATGCCGCTACTTCCTGTTTCCCTGCTCATGGTCGTTTGGATCGTACGGTTTAGCTGAGGTGAGGCTGGCGGCTTCACATCAACACACAGCAAACACAGGAGAAAAGATTCACTGGACAACACTAGAGGTCAACGAGCCCTGAGGTATGCCTCCCTTCCTGCTAGTCCACATTCTAGGCCTCAGCGCTGCACGACTGATCTAATCTGGGAACAAATACAAAAACAGTAAAACTCATTTGGACCATCTGCTCGTCCTAAACCATCCAGTAGAAAAATATCTCATCTCAGAACGTCTTCCTGCTGAGGATCCGTCCAAGGTGAACAGTTTGGATTTTGTATAGAAATGTGTACTCATATATAATATCTCTATACATGTACAGACAGCAGGGGGCGCCAGTGCGCTGAAGCGGTACTGATCACACCATCTCGTCCGTCCATCAACTGTCCTTAAAAACCAAGAGGATGTCTTCGTCTGTCCCATAGCTCCGCCTGGCCTCTTCAAAGTTACTGATGCTGGTGCAGCACACTCCTGGAGAACACACACACACTTATTAAACATTAAATAACTACTTGTCTAATTATGAGTTGGACCCAGCAGCACAGGCGGTACCCAGATGTTCCAGCTGTGGCCCTTATAAGAGCAGCTCTGGTGTTAAACCTGCTTTGAATCCTGTTTATTTAGGACTTAAGTGACCTCAGTAGATTCATGAGTGTGAAGATCCGCTGATGCTTTTTTGAAATCTCAGATAACTAAAGTTGGTTGATCGTCTCTGATGAAATGAGGAGAAAAGCCTATAAAACATTAAACTTCCTGTGCAAAAATCAACATAACTTCCATACCTGTGCATTAATACATGCCAGGATTCCATCACACCGTTGGCAGAGCATTCAAAAGCTTTTTTTTTGCTTTACTAAATAGAAAATGAGAGCAGCAGGGTTTCGGTGTTTTGGACCAACAGGATGGACTCACGGTCAGAATAGGCAGGGTTGTTGTAGAAGACGCAGCCGGTGGTTCTGTTGAAGCCGCACACAACCACAAAGTGACCCTGGTACTCAGGTTTCCTGCAGAAGCACTTCTGTCCCACAGGGAGGAAGCAGCAGTATTTGACAGGTGAGGAGCACAGCTCACAGGTCAGGACCACGGCGTTCACCAGCACCACGGCCACATGGCCCTGCTCCAGATGGGACTGGATTTCCTGAATTGTCACCGAGCTGAAGAAGAAGAAGAACAAAATCCGTCCTGATCCCAGAACAACAAGAGCCAACAAGTGGATCACTCTCCTCCCCAGACTCACCATTTCTTCACCACCACACCTGTGGTTTCTGCCTTACAGAAGAGCTTGTTCACTCGGTCTTCTTCTGTGTCAAAATGCTTCTTATAAAAGGACTGGAAAACAAAAGTGATCATCACTACTTGTGTACACAACAAGGCATTTGTCCCCTCTCAGATTTCTTCAGCTTTGCTTTGTTGTCACTTAATTGTTTCAGATTAAACATGTCATCACCAGACAAACTAAAATCTATCAGAACCACCAGGTTTTGTGTATTTCACCCATGGGTGCTACTTAGTGATGTGACGTTCAGGAACGAACTGAATCTTTTGAACGGGTTTTCAAAGTGAACGATGAGAGCCGAGTCCCTGTAGGGAGCCGTTCATCTTGTCTTCCAGTAACTAACCTCCCCGGGAGGAGGCGTTATTTGGAATTCTAGGATGTTCAAGGAAGATCCCACCTTCTTTGGTACGTTCTTTCTGTGTTTGGCTTCAAATTCTGTTTTTGGTTCATTTTAAAACACAGGAAAGGTTTCTCTTTACCTTGCTGACAGTTGTGTTCCTGTCGGCAAGGTAAAGAGAAACCTTGTTTTGTTAGTTAAAAAGAACCAAAAATGGAAGATCCCACCTTTCTCGTCTCTGATTGGCTAGAAAGGCTCTACTACGATTGGCTATTTCATTTAACAGCAAACTGGCTGTCCGTGCTAAGTGCTGACTGTGTCCTTCTGCCACCAGCAGGAAGCTGTTTTGGGGAGTTTGGTAAAGAAAAAGTTAATTTAGCGCTATAATAAACATTCTGTCCTGGTTTGCACAATATTTTAGGTTTTATGTTTCATAAAAAAACCTGAAAAACGTAAAATGTGAATTTTAAATCTTGTTGCATTTTTCAAACTGTTTGACTTACCTTATTTCTCTTGGCTCTGAAGCATTAAGAGTACACAGGATAAACACATGTGCCTTACCTGGGTATGACATTTAATAAAACTGCCCCATTCTGCCCAGCTGTGTGCATCAGGTCGGTTTCTTCTCTAGAATAATGAAAACTGGTGAAAAATAGGTCTAAATCATCATCAGCTTTAACTTAATTTTTGATTAAATGATGCACATTTAATCTGATGATGAGAGATGTGCTCTAACTTGCAAACAGCCTTAACCTATTAAAGCAGGATAGCCTAATAACGAAGTAATAAGATAACCCCAGTAGAGCCAACAGATATAAAGTCACTCTACAGTGTGATAAAATGCTACAAGAATTATTACAAGTTCACATTTGATGTTTTTCAGGTTCTTTTATGAAAGAAACTGAACCTGGTTTGTTGCTAAAAAGGAAGGGATGTTTATTACAGCGACGAGTTCACATTTTCTTCAAAAAACTCCTCAAGATCTGGCTGTAAACAATTCGGTCAAAGGAGCCAGTGTTTTGAACGGCTCTTTGAGGTAAACGACCAACTAATGAACGGCTCCCATGAAAGAGCCATAAATCCCATCACTAGGGCTACTGGAGACATCAGTGAGGAGTTTTGTCCCACCCTGCTTTACAGAGTCGTTTTATTTGAGTCACATTGAAGGATTTTCCAACCCTTAAGTTCAAAGGTCAGATGTTCTCCTTCAGGATGTTCCGCTAAAGAGCAGAATTAATGGTTCCATCAGTTACTGCAGGTGGTGCTGAAGCAGCCCCAGACCATCACACTACCACCACCGTGTCTGACTGCTGCCATCTTGACCTTTTTTGATACAGTGCAATGCAGTGGGACACGCCGTGCTGTCAGACAGGTTCCGTTGAAGCGATTCTTTCTACAGGTCTGGTAGTGATCAGGATCACGGCGCGGCTGGTGGAGCTCAACTCAGATCACCAGCTATCGTAGTTAACCAGGGTTTTTTCCCTCACCATTTAAAACTGTATTTACTCAGGTTATCGTCGTCTGAGACGTCTAAGAGACACAACAACTGAAGAGATCTGTAAGTGGGTGGATACTTATAAGCATCACTGTAGATGAAAGCAAAGATTCCTCCTCATACCTGGTTTTTAAAGCCCTTGTCGACACCCAGGGTCTGTGTGCAGAAGCAGTGTTTGACTCCTAGATGACACATGAGGTAGGCCAGGTCTATAGTCCACACGCTCTCAGTCAGCTTCAGCTCCCAGCATGCTGTCTGGAAGTCCTCATCACTCACGGGGTGCAGATACCTGCAGAACACCACCAACACTTTGGGTTGAACTCTAATGGCTGTAACAACAGGAGCCCGGGGTCTCATTAATGTTCGCTTACTTGAGGACCATCCTGGAGCAGGCTAAGCCGCAGTCCCAGTGGTACAGCTGCCGGATGATGGGAACACTCAGCAGGACGGCATCCTCTGAGGAAACAACACGTTACCGTTTCATTTTAAACACCTGACAACAGCACGCAGCACGCGCTTACCTGTCATCCTGCTACCTTCTTTACGTAACAACCAGCTGTCTAACTCGGCGGGAGCCTGAGGTCTTGTTTACCACTCTGAAGGAGGGCTGGGTTTCCTCATCGAGCCTCACAAGTTACCAGAAATCACAAGCCTAACTTGGTCCTGGTGTCTAACGAAACACTGTTAGCAGCTCTGCTCAGCCAGCTCCTCCAACCGGAAGTCACACGAACCACAAGGACATCAGCAAAGGCGACTTTAGAAAGAAATACAAGATTTTAACCCGTGCTGTGCTGTTGTTTTTATCTTCCACCGCACTTCTCAGTTATTCGCATGGCTATTCGCCAGGATACGGGAAAGGTTGGTGGTCTTCTGTGTTCCGGTTAAGTGACGCTGCCCCCTGGCGGCGAGGAGGAGAATCAACCTGCAGACAGTCGCACAAGTTTGGCAAGCCAAGAAGTTATTTAAGGTACTGCTTCCTGATCTCTGAAAAACGAGACAGCGCAAACACAATTCAGCTAAAAATGAATGATCCCGGAGGGATACTAAAAGTTTATGTTCATGTTTCTGTAGCAGGTATTTCGTACTGCTACATTTCTAAACCAGTTATCTGTTTATTCATTCATCCATCCACTAATGTTTCCCTCTGACCCAACCTCAGGTCAGACATACCTCTCAGTGACGCTCTCCAGCTCCTCCTGGGGAGATATTCCCTGGTCACATTTATTTATTTATTTGTTTATTTAACGCATTTTATTTAACCCTCTCAGGCTCAAAATAAGTTTTGGTAAAAGAACAAACAACTCAGTCCTTCAGGGGTACTTCTGAGTTAAAATGCTCATGAAATATGTGTGTGAAGTAACCAGGTAGGTAGGTTTTAACTGTTGCAAATCTGCAACGCCTGCCTCCAGAGCGGTTAACATTTATTCAACCAGACAAGTCGATTGAGAACTCATTCTCATTAACAATGACGAACTGGTAAAGAGGCAGCAGCAACAGACACATAATTAGCCTTACACCAAAGAAAAACAGTTAAGATGAAAACATACAATATAAAAATGAGATGAAACAGTTAGACATAAAGACAAAGGACTGTTTTCATATATCAAAACAGACTTTAAACAATCTTTAAGTGATCAGAAACTATTGACTGCAATGAATAATTGAAGGTAGACAATGGAATGTAGGCAGTGAGCTTTAGTGATTTTTGCAGCTCATTCCAGTCGTTGGAAGCAGCAAACTGGAATGAGGAGCAACCAAAAGAGGTGCAAGCTTTGAGAGTAACCATAGAGATGAAGTTACTGGCATTTAAATGGCCAGAGAGGATGTAGACTCCGTTCTCCCTGTGGGATGTGTCTGGAAAACCTCCAGAGGGAGATATTCAAAGGCCTTTGAACTCTAGAGGGAGGCATCCTGATGTCTGAACCACCTCAGCAACCTCAGCTTTGTGCAAGTCCAACATTTAATTTACTCACAGCTTTTGCCTATTTCCATACACACCAAAAGAATAAAACGTGATTTATTTTATCATAGGAGTATTACTGCAGAGCCAACAGGGGGTCAGGCAAATTTCATTTATCTGAGGTCAAATGAATCACTTGACTCATTTCATCTATAGAGCTAGGATTGTGACAATATTTCATGTAACTTGTAACATGCTTTGTAACTGCATGACTGCAACTTTCGTTTTGTAGCATGTACTTCCTGTTTTGTAACGTAACTTTTGGTACGTAATGTGAAACTTTCGTTTTGTAAAAAAAATCTACGTACAAGTTTCAAATCACAACTCTCCAAACACACATCTCAGTCTACAGTTACAAAACTCAAGTCTATGTGTACAATGATGATATTTATGATGTTTTTATTAGTTTGAGGTATTTGCCCTGATTTTACTCATGTTGTGCAGCACTTTGTGATTTATATCTGTGAAAGACGCTATAAATAAACTTTACTTACTTACTTACAAAACATTTTGTGCCAATTCTACCTTCCTTCCCAAAGGACCAATGACAGGCTTTGTCTTATCAGCCAATCACATTTCTTGGATATGAAATCATGCTCTAATTCAAAATGTAAGTTCTTCATTTTCATCAGTTTAGTTTTCCTAATAATTACCGCCACCAACTGGTAAAGAGTGAGAATGTGAACAGGTTGGGTTGTGAGCTGTACAACAGACCTCTGCCTTCTTGCCATGATTGGACAGGAATCCACGACTCACGATTGGCTGGTCAGACAACGCCTGTCACTGGTTCTTTGGGAAAGGGAGCTAGAATTGGGACAAAATGTTTTTTGTACCATGTAGATTTAAGTTTTGTAACTGTAGACTTAGATGTGTATTTTGAGAGTTGTGATTTGAAACTTGTACATAAATTTTTTTTCTGCAAGTTACAAAATGGAAGTTTCATGGTATGTACCGAAAGTTACATGTTACATTATAAGAATCACATGGTACAAAGTTGAGTTACAAAACACAAATTACAAGCTGCAAAATGGAAGTGACAGTTACAAAACATCTTACAAGTTACAAAACTTGGTACAAGTTACATGTAGTATTTCCTGATTCTAGCTCCATATTTCTCCTCCATCCAGATGTCTTGGGCCTTCCAGCTGTGCTTAAAGCCAATCTGTGTTCTGGACCCTCAGCTTCCAGGATCCAAAAGCATACTCACAACCACTCGTTTATTTAAACAGCTTTATTGTTGGATCTCATTTGTGTTTATATCATATATTTGGAGCAAGTTTACATTTCTGTTTATCCCTCTCAGGCTCAAAATAAGTTTTGATAAAAGAACAAACAACTAAGTTCTTCAGTGGTACTTCTGAGTTAAAAAATGCTCATGAACTACGTGTGTGGAGTAACCAGGTAGGTTTTAACTGTTGCAAATCTGCAACGCCTGCCTCCGGAGGGTTAACACGCTGTTGTTTACTTGAGTCACCTACTGGGTTCCGTAGGTTGTGCTCATTGACGTCTGTATTCAAAAAAAGAAGTAAATGAAATCAAAATAATTAGAGAAACACGTAGAATCACACAAGGCATTAACTGAATGGTTGTACCAGAAAACCTTTCTTAAGGACAAACACAAAGAAATGTGTGAGAATCGCTTACTGATTCAGCGTCAGCCTCTTCAGTCAGATGTGCAGCTTTCTGCAGGCTGTAAAGGCGAAGTTTCCTCGTGCATGTTACCATAAACCAGTCTGTGACCAGAGGCACCTGAGAGAGGACACGAGTAATGCTCAGGTTCTGTCTAACGCACGTCTGTTGGGAGGGAGACTGAGAATGAACTCACCAAACTCAGAAAAGACAAGGCTGCACCCAGGTTCACTATGGTTGGTACAATTCCAAATTTTCCTGCCTGAAAGACGCCAAACCCACAATCAGAGAAAAGAGAACAGGGACAACTTTATTAAGGAATGTCTGGATCTAATACAGTAAATCCTCTCACCGTTCCAAATACGATGACATCGAAGCGGATTCCATATGCTTTGATTAATGTTCTAGTTTCCTCTCCATCTTGTGTCTTGTACTATTTTGCAAACCTAAAAAAAGTGGTTTCTTTTTTTTTCATCAGCTTTTTTTAAAGAGTTGATTGAACAGCAGAATCACCTGAAGTTGTAACCGGGGCAACGTTATTGACGGGGTTCTTGTTGTCCAGCCGGCGGAAGCTGTACCTGGGATAACACTTTCCCGCCCACCAGTCCAGGTCACAGCTCCAGTCAATGAGAATGCCAAGAACACCACCCTTTCAAACACACAGCGCAGCAACATCAGCATCCCATCTACCATCTGGCTAAGGGCGACAACTTATTCACCTGGACAGCCATGTCCTGGAAGTCTTCTCCTGCTTCGGAAACCTGCTGCTTCGGAAACCATGTGTTTGAGGCGGAATATGGGGCAGTCGGGGTCTGTGTTGCGACTGAACTCACACCTCTTCAGGTAGGATGAGTTAATATGAGGCAAAATGTTTCTTCTGTAGGAAGTCAGACAAACATTTGATATAAAGCAATGCAACCAGAGGCAACCCTCCACTCAGAGCTTCTAGGGCTTTGTGGTGTCAGCTGACTCTGGAGCATCCACAGTGGTTCTTCTGGATCTTCTTTGATCACAGAGATCTGGGATGGAGTCCTTGCTGACAGAACCTTTCAGACTCTAAGAGTCAGTCATGTGGGCTTTGTGGATTTTATTCTGTGAATGGTGCCAATAAAGGCTGACATGCCCCCTATACAGGCATTCCCTTCAGGTTCAGACACGTTTTACTGACCTGTGATAGTTGAACTTTGGGTACGTGATGCTGTTTTTGATCAAAACCGTAAAGTTTTCGGCTGCAGCCAGTAGAGGATGTCTGTAAAAAACAGCAAGAACATGTTAATCTCCACCTAAAACGTGAAAAGTTCCTGTTATTCTCCAGCTCTTACTGAGGCAGCTTGCTGTCTATTTCCAGAGGACACCACGAGTGCACCTCACACGTCTTTGCAGTGGTTGAATAATTCTCACACAGCCCCGACCTTATACCTGAGGGGAATATTTATATTGTGCTGTACAGTTTCATGTGATGTTTTAACACACACCATCTGGACAGGCCTACCGTTGTCGCGGGGATCATTAAACCCCTCTATTCAGTCACAGTCGTCCACACAGGTGGTGGACGGGCTCGGGAGCTGGAGGAGGATTCAGCAGCGTTAATGTGTCGGATCTAATCAGAGCGTCATGAAGAATATGTCTGAGTTTCAGAAAATGTGATAACTGGTGTGTAGCGTCTTACCTCAGGACAGCGTGCCTGCGTTTGACCGGGGGTGATAACCATATTCGTCAACACAAAGAATGAACGATCACTCTGTTGAACAGACAAGCGAAAACAAAGTCGGGTCTACGAAAGTGTTCTAATGCTCTGCAGGGCTGCTTCAGGGGTTCTCTCCCCCCCACGAGGCTTTCTGCTTGCAATGAAACAGATGTCTAAAACAAAGTGTGGGCAACAGAAAAGCTTACCATACCAACTTTATCTGTTCAGCACTTTAAAAACAGCATGCCGTCGACCACGGCTCTTTACAACACAAATACAAAATGTACAGTAAAAACAAGAAAAGAAGAAAGCTGTTGATGTAAAATAGCAGTGACACCCACTGCATTAAAACTAGAGGACGACCGATATGGGTTTTTAAAGACCGATGCAGATGCAGATTTTTAAAGGATTTTGTTGCCGATTGCCAATATCTTAAGCCGATTATTAAGGCATATATATAGTTAAGTTCAGCTATATATATATATATATATATATATAGCTGAACTTAACTTCACTGGGATGTAGAATTTCACTGGACCTAAAGAAGATTCATCAGCATGGTTGAGAGGAACATAAAGCTGGCAGTCATCAGCATACAGGTGAAACAAAATCCTGTGTTTGCATAGTATCACACCTGGCAGGAGGTATAATGCAAACAGTAGAGTGCCCAGAATTGATCCCTGCGGTACACCCCATGACAGAAGGACCACAAAGGATCAAACAGAATCCAACTTCACACAAAATGTCCTGTTAGACAGATATGATGTGATCGTTGAAAACTTCACCTTTAATCGTCTAAAAAGTACAATTCTTAATCGCCATCTCCATAGAAACAGTGGGTTATCTCTGTTGCCCAACTTGCTTTATCTAAATAAAAAGTTAAATCCGGTTTATTTATGTAGAACTAATTCACATCACAAGTTCATGATTCCAGTTAGATATGTTTTTCTGAGCGAAACCTCCCGTGCAAATAAAATCCAGGCAGCACAGCATTAATACCTGAGGTGGGTTGATCATGTCAGCGGCGTCCCAAAAACGAGGCTCCACATCAGACGTGTTGGTGAACGCCAAACCTTTGATTTTAGTGGTGACGGTGCTGATGACAGAGTCTGTGTCCTGGTAGGCTTTCTGCACCACACACACATACCTGCAGCAGGTTATCAGCACCATCAAACTCCCCAAAACATTACTGCAGGACTAGATCCTCATTTTGCCTTGTTTTAACAACTTACCCCAGCACATACAGCACCACCAGGAGCTGGGTGAACCTGTAGACAAATCCCACCCCTAAGCTGGGGATGACCAGGGTTTTAGGTGTTTCATATTCAAAAACGTTGTGCAGAAGGCTCCGGAAGCAGCCAGCAGGTTTACTCATCTCTGCGCTGCACTGAGATGAACTGAGCTATGACGATGAGCGCACACCTGCTGCTCTTATTCAAATCCTTTCCTGGCTGCAGACTTGTAGCATCCAGCTGCTGCTTCAAGCATGTTGGAACCAAGTCTACACTGAAAACATTCACTGTTACGTGAAATTAAAAACATGCTAATATCAATGCGTGGGATGACTGAAAACATGTTTGAACAGAATAAAGCTTTAATGTGCTTTGGCACAAACATGCATTTGAAGAAGTAGTGACAATAAAATTAGGCAAAAATTCAGCTGTTTTCTTTATCAACTCCTCATAGAAAATGGATAGGGATTAAATTGAGGCTAATGCTAATGTAAAAACAACAATACTCTGCAAAAGTCATTCACTGGAATGAAAATCACAAAGTGCAGATTTAACTGAACATATATTTTAAGATATTCCTGTTTAACACTTAATCTTTTAAATGTCAGTTTTCATTTTTGGCTAATTTGAACAGATTTGTTTTAGTAATGATTAATGCACCTTTTATAAACACTTTTACGTTCATATATCTGTGTTATAACTACTTGTCCTGTCAGAAATAAGTTTTTATCTCAAGAGTTTAAATTCTGTTTTTCTAGAGTAAATAAGAAAACATTGTTTTATTATCGTTAAAGTTATAAAGTAAAAACACGCCTGTCCATGCAGTGTCCCCTTATCAGAACAGAGGCTGTACTCATGCAAAAGCCCAACCGATGTCTTCAGTGTTTATCAGAGAAGTCGGAGTTAAAACTCCGGTCAAAGGTCACATCCTCTGTGGCTCCCATAGACGTGAATACATAGACACCCCATTGGTCGCTGGAGAGCATAACAGCATCGCTGCCATATTAGGTGGGTTCCTCACTTCCCAAACCAACTGGAGTGAGCAAGTATGTGCATTTACCATTTATCTGATTTTGTGAAAAAGTGTAATAAAATGTGATTTTAGTTGGATAAACACCTTCAGTAGAAATAAACGCACTGGAGGCGAATGGGGACCCATCCAAGATGGCAGCCCGCTGCTATGCCAGCTCCCGTCCACGGAACATCTACGTGGTAGCTCCAGCCCAGGTGTTAATGGCTGCCTGTGTGAACCTGATCACGCAGCATTAGAAAATGAAACATGTTGCTCAGTAAACAAAAACTGACTGAGGGACATCAAGACAGCAGAACCGTCTGCAGCCCAACGGTCCTGTGTTAAAACAAGTCGCCTCACATTTACATGTCAGCTTCAGATACTGGGAGGCTGCTGACTCGTCTCACCCTGACCTGACATGCAGCTGGAGTTTTAAAACACCCATGACAAATATATTCAAGAGTATTTAGTTAAGTTTATTGAGCACATTAAAATCCACAAACACAAGACAGACACGTGTTATTTTGGTCCGTTTGTACCTCAGATATAAAGTCAATATAAAACAGTTCCCACACACACACACGGAATTTCCATTTGTCCCAACAATAAAATGCCTTCGGTGAAATATTTGTTCCCACTTTTCTTCAGCTCTCTTTTGAGTGTGAGGAGTTCCTGTTGTTGAATCTACATGATTAATAAAAGGCTACAGCTGATCTCACACACACACACACACACACACACACACACACACACACACACACACACACACACACACACACACACACACACACACACACACACACACACACACACACACACACACACACACACACACACTTCAGAAGGGCCAACACTAAAGCCTGATTCATGCTTCTACGTCAGCTCCAACAGGGAGAGACACACACGCACGGACGGAGACACTTTGCCCTCATGCTTCTCCGTCTCCTGGAGAGTGTTGCAAAGCAATTGCCCGGCAGGACAACAGAGGGCATGTATCGGTCCAAGATAGTGTGTTTATATTGTGTTTTTTGTATATAAGAGACTTTTTAACACAGACTAATTTGTCTCTCATCCTCCTCCACCTCTTCATGCACTCACCACCTCTAAACCCACGTTTCATTTCCATCCACAAATAAAACGCTTGCTGCGTATCTTTTCACTCCTCCAGTCACGGGGCAATTATACGTTCATATTTTTCGAGTTTTTTCACGAGGTATTCTTCAAGCGTCTCCGTGTCTGCTGCTAGTTATCCTCGGCTCTCTTTATGTTTTGGAGGGCTCTCCAGCAGGCCCGCAAGGACGGATAATGCCGCTGCGCGTCTCCGCACTGACGCAGACGCATGACCCAGGCTTAACCAGGGTGATTAATGAACTAGTAAATGTAACGGGTCTTCAGTCAAAAGGTTTTGCATTTCAATGTTGAATTTCAAGTATGACATGAAGGCATCCACACTGTACACAAGAGACAAGCGTCCACAGTAACAGAGCTACAGTCGAGTGCAGATCTGGAAATCTTCGTTGTGTCCATCTGAAGCCAGCAGGAAGAGAAAGACTGAACTTCACTCGTCTGATCATCTGATAACTCTTCTCATCTCAAACACAAAGGTTTAAAAATGGAACCGTTCAGGGATTTAATATTCGTCCAAAATCAAAGTCAAGCCCCCCCTCATGTAGGTTGCCCTCATTTGCATTATCAAAGCTGTTCTTGCCATGGATCTGTTTGAGGTGCTTGCGCAGCACTGGCTTGTGAGCAAACACCATTTCACAGTAGTTACATCGGTGCGGCTTATCCCCGCTGTGCAGGTTTAGGTGATCCAGCAACGAGCACTTCTGGGTGAAAGTCTTGCCGCAGATTTTACACTGGAAGGGTTTGATGCCGGCGTGCACCCGCATGTGTCGGTGCAGGTTGCCCTTCTGGGTGAAGGTCTTGCCGCAGAGGAGGCACATGAACAGCTTGTGCATCTTGAGGTGGTTGGCGTAGTTCTCCAGCTGGCGGAAGACCCGTGCACACTTGGGGCACTGATGGTACCACTGCAAAGGTTTGTCATAGTTCCTCTGATGTCCGCTGTGTTTCTCTGGTGGAGGAGAGGGAGGCGGGGGGCTGAGGGGGTATCCAGCCACACCTGCGGGAGCCGCCACCTCACTACCACGGCTGTCCACGGTGGAGTTGATGAGTGAGTGCTGGGGTTCAGGGGAGTGGAGGGCAGCAGGAGGGGTGGCAGAGAAGTGACCGCTGATGGAGTTTTCTGCTACGTCACTCACAGACTCCACCTTCACTATGGTGATGTCACTATCCGTCATATTCGACCTTGGATGCCTCCTCAGAATTTGGACAGGGCTTTTGGGCTCCATTATGACATCATCATCACTGTCACCAATGTTGATTTGATCAGTCTGACCCAATCCCGCCTCCTCATCATCCTCTTCCTCCTCCACCTCCTCCTCCTCTACCTCAGGGGCAGTTCGAACCTGAGAGCGCTCATGATCTCTCTGTGCGTGGGAAGACAGAGCTTCATCCTTCTTCTCCCTTCTCATGTCCACATCCATCTGCAGCTGGCGTGAAGCCTGAGGTTTTATGAACTTGCTCAAAGCCTGGGTGCACTGCTCCACTATGTGACCCATTTGGAGAAAGCTGGCCACTGTCAGGTAATGTACCAGCTCCAGCTCAGGAAACTCCAGCTGGCCTGTGTAGCAAGACAGCAGCAGCTGGCGGCCAACTTCTCCCGCCTGTATCATGGAGATCTGAACCTCCTTCGAGTCCTGCTGAAGGATGAACTGGTCTCTCAAGAAGGACGATCCAGCTGCAAATACAACCTTGTGACCAGGAACCTCCAGCTGGTTGATGCTCACAGTGACGTCGCAGAAGCGCCTCTGATGGCGAAGAAGGTTCATCTTCTGCAACATGGAGTCCCCAAATGTGGCGAAGCGGAACTGCAGGATCACCTGGTTCTGAGCCATGGTGGACCACAGGACAGCAGGGAGCCTGATGGGGACGAGTCCAAACAGCAAACTTTAACTTTGTTCTGACATAACTAAACCAATAATACCTTAAATAATTACCAACACATCCATCAATCATAATAAACCTGATGGAGGAACAAGCCTCCATTAAAAGATCTGCTCATGTTAAATCTGTGTCACAACCTGCTTTCAAACCCTCTGTGTACCTGGTCAACCCTACATGACACCTTTATCATTAAAATCATGCTTACTGGAGACTGAGGAGTAGAAGCATTTCATTATTTAGGAGTGTGGCTTATTTTTTGGGAAAAGCTTTCATATGCCTTTAATTCAACAGTAAAATTTGTTAATATTTCCCTTCGGCGCGTGTCTTACCAGCAGTCCAAACTCGTTGCTTTCCGCTTCGATTTTTCCCACAATCGGAGTTGACCCAAAATTAGCCTAGCACCCCGGCTAATGTAGCATCTCTGTGGCCTCTTTACTGAAGAAACCCGCTCTCGTGTCTGTTACTCGTTTTATAAAAGCAATAATAAACCAATTGGTGTTTAAAGTCGCTTTATAATCCGACGAGCTCCGTAACGTTCATCACAAATCGTTTCCATCTGTCTCCCTGGCCTCCTCCAAAGCTCTCAAGCTAGCAGCTACGGTTGTCCAGTGTTATAAACGCGTGTTACTGTCTAGTTATGATTTTTAAATAAAGCTATGCTGTAATAAAGTCTTGTTTACCTGCTCAGTCCTCGTTGGTAAACCTGCAGTAAAGGGTTTTAGTTGGTGAAACCCCGGACTCTCTGCCTCCGGTGTTGTGCCATAAAGTGAAGGTTTACTAAACATTGAATGGCCGCCGCGGGAGCGCGCACGCGCTGCATATCAGCTGTCTTGAGCTGCAAAGACACAGCTGAGGTCCCCCCCCCCCCCCCCCCCCCCCCCCCTCCATAGACATCATAGCCCCCCCTCCGCTTAGGGAGCCGCGTTTTAAAACTACGGAAGAGGATCAGAGCCAGTGGAGAAAAATGAAAAGAGAAAATTCTGACTTTTCCAACTCAGAAATCGGACTTTTTTATTCTCAGGATTCTGAAAGTTAGAAAGATTAAAGTCAGAATTTTGAGAAAAAAGTCAGAATACTTTTTTTTCTTTTCTGTGGCCCTAATGCTCTTCTATGGCAGCTCATTTCACAATAAAAAGGGCCATTTAAAAACGATAAGAAACAGAAAACATTACCATTTACGGTAATTAGTTTTTAATTAAAAGTATTGCTATGTAATACCACTTGAAAATGTTGAGCGTAATTTTAAAAATGTAGTTTGAAAAAAGTAGATAGAAAGAATGATTAGTTTTTTCTTTTTCCACTTTAATTGATTTGGTTTTATAAACAGAACAATTTGACAAAATACAAAAAATTTATTTTGTAACAGTCATCTTCAAGCTTGTGTCTTTAACTGACCCGAGTCAACTTAACTGCTCATGAAGGATATTTTGTTTTGCGGAAGAAAACGCCATGCTCCAACTCAGGGGCGGATTTAGCAATTTGGGGGCCCAAGGCGAACACAGACATGGGGCCGCTTACACTAAATTTTCAACAATCTTACCTTTAACTGGATTTGCAAAACTCTCCCCTCTTCTGACATGAGTTATTTTCCCTTTTTATTAGTCCTCCTCTTTTTTCCTGTTTTTCTCTCCCTTTGAGTGCTTTCGATATTTGCTCTGCTTTCTTCTTCCTGTCAGTGCTCCTGTGCTTTAGCCTTAGTTATTTTTTTTCTATTTTCCCTTTTGGTCTATGTTTTCCTCCCTAGAAACATTTTCCATTGTCTTTCCTTTCTGCTTCCTTTTTATGTTTACATCGAAAAACGACATCACTTTCAGAAGTGAAAATAAAAGCTTTTATGAAGCATGCGGCTTCTTTCTCTTACTGGAGCCACTAGGATAACTCCATTTCATGCTTCATGTTTTGACTATCGCTTTGGGTTTGTTAGGTTCTCAGGAATTAGGCATCTAGGTATTTCGACCTTTCGAAGATTTTCCAAGCCACAGAGCCAAGCATTCCACTTGGTTTCCAGTGCAGGAGGAACAGGTTCATCCCGTCCAACTCCACTTTTGCATATTTCCTGGAGTACTTGTTTTCCTATCAAAGTGTAGGGTGAAAGAAATCCTAACGGGTCATACACACTTGCTACTGTTGCTAGAATTCCTCGGCGTGTGGCTGGCCTATCTTTGAGGGCTCCACTGAATGTGAACACATCGGCTTCCACATTCCATTTTAGTCCCAGCACACTTTTCATTGGAACTTCAGAGTAGTTCATGTTTACATCCGTAGTGTTGCCAGCTCGTTCAGTTTCGGGAATAACACTCATGACCTCTTTGTTGTTGCATACAAATTTGTGCAAACGCAACTTCCCTTTAGCACAGAGTTTGAGTGCTTCACAGACTAGCTGCTTGGCTTTCCTGTGTTTCAACACTGAGAAGCCCATCATCCACATAAAAGTTTTTGTGAATGAAACTGGCTGCCAGTGGGTAGTCCTTTTCGTTTCTTCTGGCGAGATGTTTCATGCCAAAGTTAGCACATCCAGGCGATGACGCTGCACCAAACACGTGCACTCGCATGCGATATTCTTTTGGCTCAGTATTTGTATTTCCATCCTTCCACCACAACAACCTTAAGAAATCTCGATCCTCTGGATTAACATGGAAGCGGTGAAACATTTTCTCCACATCGCACATTATTGCGATTCTGTTCTCTTGGAATCTGCACAACACTCCTGCCAGAGAATTGATCAAGTCTGGGCCTGTAAGTAAGTGGTCACTTAAAGAGGTGTCTTCATGTTTAGCAGAGCAGTCGAAAACAACTCTAATTTTTTCTGGCTTTCTGGGGTGATACACACCGTGGTGTGGAATGTACCATGTGTTACCATCCTTTGGTGTTTCTTCTGCTTCCTCTGCATCACCATCTTTAAACACACTATTCATGAACTTTATGTAATCTTCTTTGTACTTGGGGTTCTTGTCCATTTTCATTTTCAAATATTTCAGATGAACTGTTGCAAGCTGCTTGTTAATTGGAAGCTGTGGACGTTCTTTAAAAAGTAAAGGCATTTCTAAATGACCTTGCTCATTGTAGTGAATGTTTTCATTTAGCATCTCTAAAAACTGAATGTCCTCTTGAGATACGTTCCCTTCTTTGGGGTTAGCATCCAGAAAATCAGCTTCAAGTGCTTTAATCACAGCTTCAAGTGCTATAATCACAGATGCTGGTGTAATAGATGGCAATTCATTTACTATTACACGATGGCAGGTCCCAGTTGCGCCCATTGAACCTGTCCATGGCTTAAAGGGTCCCACAATGCTCCATCCCAAGTCTGTTTTAACTGCATAGGGATCATAATCCTCTCCTGGTGTGACCTTCCTTGGTTTTAGAGCTCTTGTACAGTCATAACCAATGAGGAGAGCTACAGGACAGTCCAAGAGATCTGGCATTTCATTTGCAATGCTGAGTAGGTGGGGCCATTTTTTTGCAGTCTCTCGAGTTGGAATACTGTTTTTCTCAAGTGGAATGTATTCTCGAGTATATGTACTGTAGGTGGCAACTCAATATACTCTTGTGAGTGGTACCCTCTAACTCTCAGTCCTTCCACTCCTTGACTAGGCACAATGGAACACCTGTCAGTTATGGCTGTCAGCTTTAATTTAACGGGTCCTGTTCTTGCTTGTAATTTTTCACAGACATTTTGATCAATAAATGTTTTGCTGCTTTGGGTGTCTAACAAAGCACAAACCAATGTCTCTGGTCTATTTGCTGAAGAAGAAAGCCAAACTGGGGCAATCATTGAAGTGCAATCACTGTTGGCCAGTTTCACACTGCATGATACAGTGGCTGCATTTTCCTCTTTCAGTAGCATCTCAGGCTTATCTGGTTGTGGATGATCTTCATGAAGGGGAGAAGGGTGCGTTCGCTTACAAACATTACATGTTACTCTTTGTTGACAGTTCTTGGATATGTGACCAACACGAAGACAACCAAAGCACATATTGTTGTCCATAATGAACTTCTTCTTTTCTTCAAGAGACATTGCTGTAAACTTGTCACATTTGTAAATAGAGATTTTGCCTGCAGCAGATGCATTCAATTTGTCTCTTTTTCTGAGTTGAGTAAAGGTTAGGTTTGGATTTTTTGTTGATCTGTGTTGTAGCTGTGGCCTTTGCCTTTTTAGACACATTCGTTGTTGTCATCAGGAGACTGGTGTTGACTCAGGTTTGTGAGTCTTATTTGAAAATATTGGTTGTGCTGCTGGTTTGCCTAAAGTTAGCTTATCAGGTAAAGTTGTTGGAGAAAGAACGTGGGAAATTTACTATCATCTCACACTAAACACTAACAGGAACAATACTCTGCCCTGAATATGCTTAATATGTAGCTTCAGATTAAAAATTATGTGGTACAAGACAAATATATATGATATTGACTAGTGAGTGTCGTGTGTGTCTGTGCGCGCGCGCGCGCGTGTGTGTGTTAAGCCTCGGATCTTCTTCAGTCCTAAATCCGCCCCTGTTATAGAGACTGAATTCGTCTGAGTCGTGCTCCTTTTGCTGAAGCTACAGCTTGCGGGTTACCACAACACATGCTGGGTTGGTCATAGACCTGCAACACATGATGGACTGGCTTTTTCACAACTTATTTTGACTAAAGATGGCGGATTTATAATTCTGTGTTGCCGTGAGAGATGAATCACTGTTGTTCTGCTTAGATCCAACTTTCTTCTACTTCTGCTCTGTTTGGCTTCAGCTGTTCTGTCCTGCACCATTCATTCTGGGTTTTGCTGAGTGCTTCTACATTGGGTTTCCAGTTCTCCTGGAGAGCAAATCAGTCCACTATCTGCTTGCGGCCTATCAGTGTCTCCTGCTGGGTACCTGTTATGTTAATGTTCTCCATTATTCTACAGCGGGTCAAGCTGGCGTTTAACAACTCCGACTCTAGCTCTAAACTGCTTTAGGAGTGTCTGTCTCTGGTTCACTGGGAAGTGTCAGAGGTGCAATTGCAACATCAATAAAAACAAAAAGCCAGAAAATCTTCCTCTTAATGAACAACAAATAGTCCTTCAGTAGACAATGACATACATTTATTACAACCTTTTTCATCTATTTTAGTTATTTACAGAATGTACAGTTCAAAATATAAATGTCTGTCACCACTGAAGGGAAACATCAGCACTGAGGAGAACTAAGTCCTCTTGGTGCACCTAGAATAGAAAAACAAAGCAGAATGTTCATTAGATAACAAGCACACCCTCTGGTGTTCTGCCTGAACTCAACAGCAACAACATACTTGTTATTTATGCAAGAAATGTTTGGCTTAATGAGAAATGTATACAGAAATTATAAAAAAAAGATGAAGTGGACAAAATAAATAGACAGTGGTTTTAATTATATACTGACAATTGTCTTGTTGCTAACATAGTTCAAACATAAGGTAATGAGGTGAGTGACATTATTTCCCTTTTCCCTCACAAATGTATACTTGTACAGTATGTACAGATAAAACTTGGGTCACTTATCTTCAGCCGTCAATATAAACTTAAGGAATTTGGGTTTTGTTTTTGACCAATCAATGTCTCTTGAAGGCCATGAAACATTGGTCTGAAACTTTTTCTATCACAAGAAACATCTCCAAATTGCGAAGGTTGGTGTCAAAACATGAACTTGAAATGGTTATCCATGCCTTTATCTCCTCCAGTCTGGATTACTGTAACACACTCTTCACATGTTTTAACAAAAAAGCCCCTGACCACCGTCAGTTGGTCCAGAACTCTGCAGCGGGGCTCCCAACCGGAGCAAACAGAAGAGCACACATCACTCGTGTTCTAATGTCTCTGCACTGGTTTTCCCGTTACCTTTAGAGTTCATTTTAGAATTCTGATTATAACTTTCAGGGCTGTACATGGTCAAGCTCTTCTCTATATTACTGAACTGTTAAAGCCTTACACTCCAACCTGAGCCCTCAGGACCACAAACAAGAACCTTCTAGAAGTTCCAAAGACCAGATATAAAAGTCGAGGTGATTGCTCCTTCCAGACTGTTGCACCCCCACTTTGGAGTGACCTTCCTTTATCCTTATGGAGCATGGAAAAGCTGGACACTTTTAAAAAACAGCTCAAGACCCTTTTACATGCTTTTACCTAAACCTTTTGTTTTCTTATTTTTAACTCAAGTTTGTGATCATCTTTCATTTGTTTTATATTTTAATGATTGTATTTTTCTGATTCAAATCTATTTCTGTTTTAAGATCATTATGATTTTATGACTTTGTTTTACCGTATTTTGTTTTGATCTATGTGAAGCACTTTGTGATTCTATGTCTGTGATGAGTGCTATATAAATAAAATTTACTTACTTACTAGTAACACTTTACATTAATGGTCCCAAATTGGCTTACCTAATGAGTAACTAACAATAAATGAATCAGGATTTAATGATTAACTAATGATTACCTAAGCTTCACAACCACCCCATGGTGCATTTATTAGCAAATGATTCCTGAATGATTACTTTATGGTTGGTTAGTCGTCATATGGCTAAATAGCTAATCAGACACAAAGGATTACCTAAGCTTCACCAAATCTGCGTACCTACTGAGTAACTAATGATGAACAAATCAGGATCTGATGATGAACTAATGATTACCTATGCTTCACAACCACTCCATGGTGGATTAATTAGCTAATGATTATTCAAGGATTCCTTAATGCTTACTTAATGGTTGGTAATTGATGAAAATATAGTTAATCACCCACTAATGATTGAATAATGATTACCTAAGCTTTATACCCAGCCCCAAACCTAATTTATTAGCTGATGAATCCTGAATGATTGCTTACTGTTTGGTCAGTCATTAATACCAAATCAGGAACTAATAACTTATCAATGATGGACCTGCTGGTGATTCATCATTTTTTCCTTAATGATGAGTATTATAGCTTTTTTCCAACAATGGGGTCTGATCAGCCGGTTGGACAATGGTAGCATTTTGGCAAAACTTCCTATTCCATATTTGCTTAAACTTGTCTTCTTAATACTCCTAATAACTCACTAATCATGACATCATCAGTAACTTACCATTAGTTAAGCTTTTTGGGGCCCCCCAAAGTAAAGTAAAAAAATACTTATTCAAAGAAGTCACAGTGCCTTAGCAAATTTATTAGTAACCTAAATGAACAAAGTTCACACAAACATAAAACATACATATTCATTTTTAACCTTAAAAAGCAGCAATTGAATAAAAATGTCCTAAACATTTACCAGTTACTTATAAACGAACAATACAAAAATCTAACCTTTTATTTCTAACAAACACGTGACAGCTAAACACAACTTCATTTGAACCCTTTTTGATTTTCATGACCTGGATGACCAAGAACCTTCACCAGCTCTTGTCCAATGTTGCACTGAGTTCTTCATATGCCTCCTCATCAATGACCTTCAACTCTGAAATTGCTGAAATGCCAGCAATGTGTTTTTGGTTCACATCGAGTTCCTGGACAGGAGCAACCTTAGTTTATGTTCTGTCTTTAACAGCCCCTAATAGCTGTTGGTATCTGCTGATAGCCTCTTATGGAATTTAGACTGAAACAACAACAACAACAAAAAATCAAACTATGTAGCATACTTATGAAAATTGTATCTTTATTGTTAATATCACATACAGTATCTGATAAAATAAAAAAATTTCACAATTAACTAGGAGAGTTTGGGATCTTAATATTCATATATAATATAAATACGCAAAGTTACAGCTAAGCTAAGCTAATTTTCACACTGAGTTTATTAACACAAATATTATAAATCTAAAGCAAATGAACACCAATCAAATCTGTAGTGTTTAAACTGAAAAAAATCTAAATCAGACACGAACCACTACTCATGGGACCAACAGGCTAACACAAGGTCGATGTAGCCTTGAGGTGCTAACAGCTGATGTTTATGATCAGTTTCTGCTCAGAAAAAACTATTCTAACAGCTGAATTATCTTCAAGTCTTTATAAATTTTTACAGAATATGCTAATCACTCGTTTAATCAAATATGTGGTGTTATAACTGCAAAACGTCTAAAATTGGAAAGACAGAAACTACCACGCGATGCTAATGCCAACTGCTAACATTTTATAGAACAAACTTAAACAATAGTCTTATATGATGTAAGGTTAAAGCCAACACTAACTCTTCGCTCAGATACACAAATGATAAAAGTTCCCTTTCTTTTATTTTACAAACTAGCGGTGCAATGTTAGCATTCAAGCTAGCGCAATATTAGCCGACACAGCAACATCTGTTCTAGTATTTCTTTCATTTTAATAAAAAAAAATCAGTTACAGTTCTCTAAAATACAATAAATGACTTACCTGTCCAAAAACTGCTTTGCCAACTCTTCATTAGTTTTGAGGCCTTGTAGATCACTATTGGCGCTTACACATTAGCGTGGGCATGGTCGCCGTTTCGTCCGGCTGAATGGCGTGAGTTTGGGCTGGTACAGGCGATGTAGTGTTCACATATGAATCCGAGGGACTTCTCAAGAATGCAGAATTCCCCGAGCCCGTGGCCATTTAGCCCATAGTGTCACCTCAGTCCCAGTCTGACTGCTGGGGAGATGGTCTGAGAAAAAGAGTCGTCTCGGCACCGAAAATGCAAATCGGACCTGTGAGTGAAACCAAATTCTGGTGCCGTTCGGTACCATATGGGCCGTGCCAACACGTTCTCACACCCTAAGCGTAGAAAAATGACGCGGTGTAACCAAGCGTCAAAATATGACGCGCAGGGTGCCCCAGTGCATCGGAGGAGGATGCGAAGGGACACGCGCTGTGCCACAGCATCGGTATCAGATGCCCGCGGTGAGACGGACATTTAACCGACATTTCACCTGTAACCTCTAGCGATTTAACCTTCCCCTCACCCCATCCTAACCTTAACCCAGTATGTCTGTCTGTGTAAATTTTCAATTAAGCGTGTTTGAGAGGAACAGCGGAACACAAAACAAAGGAGTGGACAGTAGAGAGGGGGGACAGGTGCAGGCAAGGTGCTAGTTAAGAAGATGCTCTCTGAAGAGCAGGGTCTTCAGGAGTTTCTTGAAAATTGAAAAGGAAGCCGCAGTTCTGGTAGTGCTTGGAAGGTCATTCCACATTTGTGGAACAATGCATGAGAAAAGTTTGGATTGTCCTGAGTGTGGTGTAGGCACTGCTAGCCGACGATCCTGTGATGACCGGAGCGGCCGGGCCGAGACGGAAGCCTTTGCAAGAGGATTCAGGTAGATGGGAGCCGTACCATCTCGGACTTTGTATGCTAGTGTTAGCAATTTGAATTTGATGCGTGCTGCTAGCGGTAGCCAGTGGAACTCAATGAACAGAGGGGTGACGTGTGCTCTTTTTGGCTGATTGAAGACCACATGCACCACTGCATTCTGGACCATTTGAAGAGGTCTCACAGTACTGCCTGGAAGACCAGTTAGAAGGGCATTGCAGTAACCAAGGCGGGAGATGACAGTAGATTGCACCAGGAGCTGGGTGGCATGTTGTGTTAGGTATGGTCTGATCTTTCATATGTTATACAGCGCAAAGCGGCATGAACGAGCAACAGAGGCAACATGATCTTTAAAGGTCAGGTGTTCATCAATCACAACACCCAGATTTCGAACTGCCTTTGAAGGAGCCAGAGATAGGAAGTCATTTCGGATTGAGATATTGTGCTGTATGGATGGTTTTGCTGGGATGACAAGTAGTTTAGTTTTAGAGAGGTTGAATTGGAGATGGTAGGATTTTATCCATTTTGATATGCCAGAGAGACAGTTTGATATTCGTGCAGAGACAGTGTGGTCGTCCAGTGGAAATGACAGATAGACCTGGGTGTCGTCTGCATACCAGTGGTAGGAGAAGCCATGCGATCGAATGATCTCACCCAGTGAGGTGGTGTATATGGCAAAGAGAAGAAGTCCTAGTACTGAGCCCTGGGGGACTCCTGTGGCAAGATGGTGCACGGTAGAGGATTGTCCAAGCCAAGATACACTGAATGATCATCCTGTGAGGTACGATTCAACCAGGCATGTGCTTTCTCTGTGATGCCCATGCTAGAGAGTGTGGACAAAAGGAAGCCATGGTTGACAGTGTCAAATGCTGCCAATAAGTGAAGCAGGATAAGCACTGAGGATTTGCCTGTCGCTCTAGCTTCTTTTAAGGATTCCGTCACTGCCAACAGAGCAGTTTCAGTGGAGTGGCCCTTTTTGAACCCAGATTGGTAAGGGTCAAGCAGCCAGTTTTGTGAGAGGTATTCTGTGATCTGCTTGAAAGCCACCCTTTCAATGATTTTGGACAGAAAAGGGAGGAGAGAGAGATCTTGGAGATGAGTGGAAGTTTAGAGATGGGTCTGAAGCTGCTATGAGGAGAAGGGTCAAGACTCGTTTTTTTAAGAAGCGGGTGGATTACAGCGTTCTTCAAGTAAGCAGGGACCTGACCAGAGACCAGAGAAGCATTAATTATAGAGAGCACGCTGGGAGTGATGGACTGAAAAGCACTTTTAAACAAAGATGAGGGTAAGATGTCAAGGGGGCATGCAGAGGTCTTCATAGAGTTAACTAGTTTGGTTAACTCAGGCAAAGAAACAGGAGCGAAGCTATCTAGGATGATGGGCCTGGTTGGAGTCGGGAGAGGCGGCGATAAGGCTGAAGGAGAGATGCTAGATCTAACCTTATTGACTTTGTCCACAAAGAAAGACAGAAAGTTCTCACAGTCTGTAACAGAGTGGATGGAGGCTGTAGGAGAGGCAGGAGACACGATGCTGCTGATGGTGTTAAACAGCACCTTGGGGTTCCCTTTGTTCTGGGACACCAGGTTGGAGAAATAGGAAACCCTAGCGTCTCTGACTGCAGAGTTAAAGGATGTCAGAAGATCCTTTAGGTGCAGCAGATGGACGTAGAGATGGGTTTTCTTCCACAAATGCTCAATTTTTCTGCATTGGCGCTTCAGGCTGCGAAGGCTGTCATTAAACCAGGGAGTAGGGTTCACTGCAGGAACTGATCTGGTTCTGACAGGACAGATGTTGTCCAGATTGGAGAGGCAGAGCTCGTTAAAATGAGAAGTTAAGGAATCTGGGTCATTATCAGAAGAACAGGGTGGATCAAAAGCAGCAGAAAAATAGCTAGCTGTGCTCTCATTAAGAAAACGAGAACCAACCATACGGCGAGCAGGAGGTGGGGACGCAGAAACTGACAAGTTAAAGAAAATGCAATGGTGATCTGAAATATAAACGTCCTCAGGACAAACACTGTCAGCATTTAGACTCAGGGTAAAAACAAGGTCTAGAGTGTGCCCCCTGGTGTGTGTGGCCAGAAACATGCTGGGTAAAGCTGAAGGAGTCCATAAGGCTGGAGAAATTCATGGCAAAGTGATCAGAGGGATCATCAACGTGGATGTTAAAGTCACCAACAATCACCAGTCTGGACAGCTTCACAGTGGAGGATAGAAAGTCACTAAACTCCTGAAGGAAATAACTGTTTGGACCAGGTGGACGATAGACCACAGCACAGTAGAACGGGTCCTTACGCCCGACTTTTATCAGCTGCAGTTCAAAGGAAGCAAAGTGACCAGAGGTTGTAGAGCTACATGGAAGATGGTCTCTGAAAACAACAGCTAGGCCTCCACCACAACCAAAACCCCGGGGCTGGCTAAGAAAAGAATAACCACTCGGGCAAAGTTCAATCAGACCAGAATAATCAGACGTTTGCTGCCAAAATTTTGGGAAGACCGGTCTGTCCATCCATCCATCCATCCATCCATCCATCCATCCATCCATCCATCCATCCATCCATTTTCTGAACCCGCTTGTCTACGTAGGGTCACGGTGGGGCTGGTGTCTATCTCCAGCAGTCAACGGGCAAGTAGGCGGGGTACACCCTGGACAGAGAGCCAGTCCATCGCAGGGCAACACAGAGACACACAGGACAAACAACCATGCACACACACACTCACACCTAAGGACAATTTGGACAGACCAATTAACCTAACAGTCATGTTTTTTGGACTGTGGGGGGAAGTCGGATTACCCGGAGAGAGCCCACACATGCACAGGGAGAACATGTAAACTCCATGCAGAAAGATCCCAGGCCGGGAATCAAACCCAGGACCTTCTCGCTGCAAGGCAGCAGCTCTAACCACTGCGCCACTTCGCAGCCCCGTCATAGCAATATAAAACAGAACCAAATCTCGTTGTTTACCCCCAGTGACTCTGGACAAAGTGTCCAACGAGGCATTCCGGGCGGTGACCGAAAATGTGGCTGCAGAATCGGACTGTCCCACCAGTGCGCCTGAATTGGCAAGAAAATAAAAGATGAAAATCGTGCCTTCTGTGTTGGTCCTATAAATGATGTGTGGCAAGGTGGAGAAACGAGGGACCAGGCGGGATACAATCCCCAGACTCCCAGGTGAGAGTCACACGCATTAACCACACGTGTTTTGGCTAATAAATCCACCATAGGGTGCTGAAGCATAGGTAATTATTATTTAATCATTAGCTCTTTATTCATTCATCATTAGTTACTCAGTAGGTATCCTGATTTTGTAAAGATTAGGTAACCATTTGTGTCTGATTAGTTATCTTATCATTTCATGACTAACCAACCATTCAGGAATCATTAGCTAATAAATTCACCAGGTGGTGGTTGTGAAGCTTAAGTAATCATTAGTTAATCATTAAATCCTGATTCGTTTATCATTAGTTACTCATTGGGTAAGCTGATTTTGGGACCTTTATTGTAAAGTGTTACCACTTGTACAAATAAACTTGTGGATGACGAGTGATCTCCCATACCAGATGAAACTGTATCCCGCCAGTATAACCATGGCAACCAGTCCTATAAACGCAGCAGCAGACAACAATGAAGCTCTCAGAATGTATGATGCACCTGGGAAGAGGAAACACCTTAACGTTTTGCACATTTCTTCATTAGGACTTTATTTTTTACATTTCACAGTTGGAAGTATCATATGCTTCCCTCTTGTGTTACATTATGATGCTGTGACCTCATTTACCTGCTACTTTAGCCCACAGAACACAGCAACTTTTTGAGTCCTTGGAGGGAAAAGATTCAGATAAAATTTTTTGTGAATTCTAAGGTCTCTTATTTCTTAACAAGAACCCACAAGCATTAAAACTCACCGTTTTCCATTGACTGACAGCTCGTATGATGATATAATAGGTTCTGCCACTCTCCAGTGGTTCATTATAGAAGCCTCCATAGAGGACACCATCCCCTATAGTAAAGTCCAGATTTAGTCCAACACTTTGGACGTGGAGCTGGGCAGTGATGTACTCTGCTGGGGGCTTTAATTTGGTAGCAAGGTCTAAGCTTGTAGGAGAGGAGCAGTCAAACTCCATGATGCCCTCAACAGGGAGCACAAAGATTTGGTACAAACTGCCAAACCAGAAACACAGAACGTAACATTTTAATTACAGTATACTTTTACATACGTCTGTGAGTTTGTTCTGATGGTTTTCTGTGTCCAGATATTAGCCGTGAGCAGCCAGACTCAGTACCGGTCCTACCTTAGTGGATCCAATGTATTGGGTGATCTCTGTAGCCTCAAAGTTGGGTTTGGAGTCTCAAATTCTGTGTAAAAGACAATTGGCGCTGGAGGCTCTATTACACACACAAATGCACACGCACACACACACACACACACACACACACACACACACACACACACACACACACACACACACACACACACACATGAAATAAGCATGAATTTCATTCCTGAGCTTTCCAGTTAAGATCCCAGCTGGAGCAGACCAGCTTATCCCACCTGTTAGACTGGTGTTGGTGGTGATGGCGGCCATGAATCTGGCTGATGCTGCGGTCACTGATATGCTGTAGTTTGTTACTGGAAGCAGTTGCAGGCAAAGTGTCAGCTGATCAGATTTAGACCTCAGGAAGTGTTTTCCTTTGTCTTGAAAGGTTCTTTGGTAATCTCTGATTCCAACATAAGTCACCTGGAAGAATTACATACACATGTTTAAAGTCAGGATTGCAGAATTACCACAGTAGTTCCATCCATCATCTTCTGCATATCTGAGGTTGAGTCGATGTTCAGGAAGGAAGCCCGGACATTTCTCCACCTATGGTGATACACTCCAGCTCTGCAAGGGGGAAAGGGTATGTGACCCAGTGCCTTAAAGAGCAAGTCATCCCCAAAAGCAACTTTGTTTTGCTGATAAACTATATTAAGGAGTGTCTAATTGTGCTGTAGACACGTATAGTCAATAATTTGGCACTTTAGTGCATCTTACTTCAATTTAAAGTATTCTGCCCAAAACTGTCACTGTTGCGCCCTCTTCAGGTAAAAACTCTGCACTGCATTTGATTTAAAATCTGCCATCGCTATTGGCTAAGAGGTACACTATGATGTTAGCTGGTACATTATAATGTCATTGTGAGCCTGTGTGTGTATTTGTTGGCAGCTCCGCCCTCTCAATCTGCCAGGCAACTGCATTTGTTGCATTTTTCAAACAGGAAGTTGGAGTGGAGTAAGACTGGTAGGGGGTGACTTGCTCTTTAATGTCTCATGGAAAACCTCCAGAAGAAAGTAACCAGTAGACATCCTTAACCCTCCCACTGTCCTAATGGGTGACCCAGCGAGGAAAGTTGAGCATTGAGCAGGATTGATGGTTTATCCCTTGAGGTCCATGTGGCAGGGGGTGAGGTGGTGCTCATTCCTCACCCCATGGACCTCAATGGATAAACCATCAACCTTGCTCAATGGTCAACTTTCCTCGCTGGGTCACCCATTAGGACAGTGGGAGGGTTAAACAACTTTGTCATATCCATTCCATGTTCTTTTCCAATTGTCACCCTCTACTGCCCACATTTTTCTTCTTGAGCACCACATCCCACATGTGATCTAGCATGTACACTAACTCCTTCATCTCTATTCATGGTTAGCATCATGTGCCTCTTTATTTCAACTGCTTCCTTAATCTTGCTCCATCGTTTGAATCCTTTTCTTGAATCGTCCCTGTCCATGCTGCCGGCAGTAGAGGCTGACATCATCCTCTACTGCTCACACATAAAAAGCTGCAGAGGAAGTCTCCTGTAACATCCGTGGATGCTCTGAGGAACGCAACAGAAGCTAAAACTGTCAGCAAAACAAATCAAAGCAGATAAAATCTTTTGGTACTCTGTGTGTACTCATAATAATCGGAAAAAGAAAGAGACATCCTTGTCACATGCCTGAACTACCCAAGCTGACATTAGCTGCTTGTATCTGCCCCACACGACCACAACGACCCACTTCTCCAGGTCTACAAACTATGAGCTGGTTAACCCAAATTCTCCTTAGCAACTCTACAAGGTTGAAAATCTAGTCTGCTGCTCCATGACTAAGATGGAGCCTCGCTGCTTTTCCTGAATTTGCGGTTTGCCAGTCAGTCTCTTTTCCAGGAATTCCCTCCTCCGTCCCACAGGAGGTGACCTTACGGCACCAAGCCTCACCTTGTAAACTTCTGTATCTTCTTCATACTTTCCTGCTTTCCACTGCAGACAGTTTTCATTAAAAACCACAAGGTCACTGATAGGTGGCAACATTTCTGTCATTGAAAAGAAAAAAACAACAATGATTTGCAAATTATTTAAATATTGGCAAACATGTTAAAAACACAACCCAGTGTGTTGGATGAGGAGCCAGACAGCTCCTGGAACAGAAACCTCTACAAGGCTGTCTAGTTTCAACTTACTGATGCATCTGAGGGAAGCTCTCCTCCACTCTCCAGAGCTGCCACACACAGACACATTACTGCCCCTCCAGCTGCGGTAGCCTGCTGCACAGCGATGGATCACAACACTCCTGTTATGCCACACTACCTCTGAGTTAGCGAGGATGGGAATCGGGCCACATTTAGCTGGAAGGACAGCAGAATTTACCGACTGACCATTTATCTCACGCAGAAACACACCATTTATTTCCTGTTTGCATCCAAAAGGAACAGAAATGTGTGATGAAATAGCAAGGTGCTACGAGAAGACAACAGAACCCTTCTTGTTAGTGTGTCTGGGTGAGGCGGCACATCCGTGAACACCTAGGTCATGCTTGTCTTAGCCTGTGATCATGGCAAGCTGTTAGGGAAGAAGTAAAAAATCACATGCAGCTTCTTAAAGTGGTACAAACTCCTCATCTAATCATCCCAAACCACTGGGCATGCAGGATAGGAGACAGGAGACACGGCAGCAACATGCGAGAAGAAAAACACAACGTAAAGATAATTACCTGTACACTTTACAGATATCGCCCCCCACTCTCCCGATAGCAAACATGCTGAAACATTATTCCCGCTCTCCTGGAAAAATCCTTCTGCACACTCATACAGAACAACACTGCCCGCTGAGCTGTTCCCGTCCCACAGGAGGTTAGTGTTTGGGAAAACCTTTGGGGGACCACAGTTTACTTCTGTATACAAATATGAGTTATCTCAGAGTGCAGCAAGACACAGATGCAATCCGTAGTTTGAGCTGTCAGAGAATCTTCTCGTCCCGTGAAAGTAAATCCTATAAATACCAAAACTCCTTCAGCTGAGCTCTGAATTACTGATTCCAAAAGTCAAACATAACACAGAGTATCTGATTTTATAAAAGTCTTGCACCTTCACACCAAAGATCAACCTCCTCCCACAATCCCTTTTCTCCACATGCTGAGCGGTTTATCAGGCCTCTGGTGTAAAATCCTTCCTCACACTGGTAATAGACCACGCTGCCAATGTGTGACGTGCCGTCCCAAAACATTTGAGCATGCAGCTTGGAAAGGGGCTCTGCACAACTGATTTCTACAACAAGAAGACAGCGGGTCAGTGGAGAGCAGTGGACATTCATTTCAAATGACTTCATGGTGCAAAAGGGGTCTAGTTGCGAGCTAACTGGATGTAGTAAGTCATTAAACTTACATAAAGACGACTATTATCATCACCTTGACAGGACAGAGAAGCTCGGACCCACTCTCCGTTGGCAGCACAGACTGATCTGTTTCCTTCTCCAACGCTCGCGAATCCGTGGTCACATTTATAAACAACCTGAGAGCCCAGAGTGGAGCGTTTGTCCCACAGCATGGCTGAGTGAGGGATGGGTAAAGGCTCTCCACAGTCAACCTCTACACACAGGGTGATCACATCATTCAGCGTGGCGAGAGGCGGATATGTTAGTTTGTGGAGAGAATCGGAGGAAGATATTACCTTTACACAAAATGTCAGGCTGTGTCCAGTAACCGTTAGGTGTGCAAACGGACACATTTCTACCCCCATGATGATAAAATCCTGTTTTACAGAAGTAAGCCACTGTGCTTCCAGGGGTGGAGCTGCCAGTCCACACCTGCACGGTGTGGAGCACAGCGGGGGGGCCTCCACAGAGCATCTCTGGCACATGAAAGGTCCCACAGATTACAAATAAATAACAAATAAATACATAAATACAGCAAATATGGAGTCATTCATGGAGACGGTTACCTTGACAGGACAAAGTTACAGGAGTCCAGAGACCGTTTTTATTACAGATGGATTCATTAGATCCTCCTTTACTATAAAAACCATTTTTACAGACATAAACCACAACGCTTCCAGGAGCTGAGTCATGGTTCCACCCCTGCTCAGTGAATTCAATCAAAGGAGGATTTCCACACAAGATCTCTACAGGAAAAAAAATACCACACACACACACACACACACACACACACACACACACACACATGCATGCACGCACGCATGCATGCACACACACGTGTGCATTTAATAAAAAAATGCTTGTATGAAACAGGTTCCAACACTCAGGATTAGGGATGAGGGTTGGTGGTGGAGATGTCAGACCAAAATATAAGTTAACAAAAAGACAATGTACATTTATAAAATGATTAGTCTCCAAAAACAGTCCTGGTACATTTGATGCTTTTATTTCTTTGAAACAAAACTTTTTTTTTTTTTTGCATTGTTCTTTTCACTTTGGGGCTGTCACGTTTTGGGGATGTTTAGGACCCAAATATGCAGCAACCCAGGATGACACGAGGCAGGAGATGATGTAAGGTAAAATCCTTTATTTTTGAAGGATGAACAAAATAAATCCAGGCAGCGAGTCTAAAGTCCAAAACTCCAAAGCAGGAGAAACAAAGCTCACCAAGAGCACGAACAAACGCTGACAGAATACAAACACAATGGATCGACACAAAACAAAGACAAGACAGGGCTTAAATAACAGGGAGGAGTAATTAAGGGAACAGGAAGCAGGTGTGTGGGGTGAGGGCTGGAGGGAAGGCGGGTGACAATAATTACCTAAATGGGGAAACAGAACCAAAGGAGGACAGATAAACCTAAATCTACAAATCCAAACTAAAAGGCTGCGGGAAGGACTGACACACACACACACACACACACACACACACACACACACACACACACACACACACACACACACACACACATACTGGGCTAGGGAACAAGAGGCTGGAGCTGCAACTGGAGGGACAGAGGATAACTAAACGAACACCGGACCTGAGGGAACGATAAAAAGGCCTACAAACAGAAGACACAATATAGAGACGCAGACAAAGGACACATGAGGGCGCTATGAGACACAGAAGGGAAACTAGAGAGGATGGAGACACATCAGGAGACACATAAAGGAGGGGGCAGACGCAGACCATGACAGGGGCATTATACAAATACGGACCATTTGAACCGGAAAAGTGTAGAATACCTTCTTTGGTAGGCAGAATGGTACTTCGTATACAGTGATGTGGGCGTTGTACCGGTCTGTCGTGGTGAAAGAATGAGGCCCCATGACCCGACCCCAGACCAACGGGAGTAAATGGAGGGATAGTGCGATGGATGTACATGTCTACGATGAACTTGTCTCCATGAAAACTGAGTTGATTCAACTTTGAGGTGATTGAGTCTACCTGATGGTCCTTTTACTGGAATGGAGGTTATCCTGATCTGCTGGAGGCTCTAAGATCATCCAACAGGGATTTTAGATCTCTGTCTATTAGCATGGATTTTCTCACACTTTTGAGAAGCGTTAGAAGACCTATTACACGGTTTTGTATTAGACTTTTGAAAGTGTGGGTTAGGGTTAGGCAATAAAAGGTTGATAAAAATGTCAGCAGCTTCTACCAGTGTTTTGACATAAGATTCAGCGCTTAAAAAATAAGTTAACATAAGTTTGATCCCTAGCTCTGTTACCTTCACAGACCAGAGTGGCTCCTCTCCATATCCCATCAGCTCCACACACAGATCTGTTGTCTCCCCTCCTCCACACAAAGCCTTCATCACAGGTGAACGTGACCACACTGCCGTACGTAGTCCCAGAGACAGACAGCACGGCCGTGTCCTCTCCTGCAGCTGGTGGGCCACAGTCCACCTCTGAGTCAGCAACGTAAATGTTAGACATATCCTTCCACCGTTTGTGAATAGAGTTTGAGGTCGTATGACGCCAAGCTGGAATGTGTTGAAAGGCATGTTTAAATCTCATGAATGCGTTTTTACCTTTGCAGGATGCTTGGTCTCTCTGTGGGTGAAAAGGCTCCGCTCCGTTGTGAATTCGGTATCCCACCTGGCAGCTGCAGTCAAAGCTACCCTCTGTGTTCCTACACTGACCTCCCTCTCCACACAGCCCTGTGATCATGCACTCATTTACATCTGTAGAAGACAAACATCAATGATTACATCTCTGACTTTGATAGGATTGTTGTGCATAACAGGAAAAAGAAACTTATTCAGCTGCTTCTTTGCTGATGCCTTTCCTACATTTGTAAACACACCCCTGCGCTGACGTCGTTAGGTCCGTTTTAATCACAAGCCCCCCTATCATTTTGAGTTTTTTTAGGGTTGGTACTTTAACGCGTTAATTATGATTAATTCCTTGCATTTCGAGCACGGCGGAACCTTTGTCATTGCACGACTTCCTCGTAGACAGAATATCACTGACGCACACAACAATGCACAGTGCTAATGGCCACTAAAACGAAATAAAAACGGAAAGAAGTTGCCTTGCTTGGACTGATGCAGGATTTAGGAAACACGTCCGCCTCTTTTCTTAACTTGAAAAAAACAGACTTCCAGACAACAAAGGAGTCCGTGTTGCGGACATTTTTCAGAGATCGTCTCTGCTGCGGCTGCCCGGTGGCACCGGGAACTTTACAAAAGTTGCGGTAAGCTATATTTTTAACATTTACGTAACATCTGTGCAGCGCTGAAAGCACCAGACAGAATAATTCTGTCCCCTAACAGTAGTTAATGAAAGTAGTCAGACAAACGAGAGGCACCTGGCTGCCGCTGGGAGAACGTTCCGTGTTCTCACTACTCAGTAAACAATCACAAACAACGTGTCTTAAAGTTGAAAACAGAAGTTTAAGTTAAAACAGAAACACTCTGAAACTTTTCTGATGATTTTCTAAACAATTCTGTCGAGGAGTTATACGTTTCTGAGATGAGTCTCTGTCTAAACATCACATGCATTACTATCATTAAGCAGCGAGGTGTGTTGAAGCTGTCATCAGCTAAGGGGCGGATGCTTAAGTGTATCTGGAGCAGCGAGGAACGAGGAAGTTGTGATCAGGCTGGAGATCACACCAGATTTGCTGCTGCAGGCGTGAATCTGCGGGTCTGCAGCATCCCCTTCTTAACGTGACAGCAGGACTTCCCATGTAAGGAAGGTCCGCTCACCTGTTCGTCAGATCATTATTTCCTCGCCATGATCTTTTACCTTCCCATCATCCTCCAGTCATCCAACTGGAACCAGTTAGTGTTCCTGATCATTCTCAGAATATGCCATGCCTGCTCCGGTGTTAAAAGTTAGTACATTTAAGTCCTAGATCATATTTGTGCCTGTTCTACTGTCATTTTGAAGGATTATTATTTATGTGCTTTTACTACATTCTGAGTATAAATGCTAATAAAAACTCCCAATTATACAAACAAGTGAAACTGGAAAAATTAGAATCTGGAAAAATTAGAATCTGGTGCAAAGTCAAATTTATTTCAGTAATTCAACTAGACAGGCTCAGGAACCCTTTGCAGGTGTTTTCTATTTGTAATTATAAATTTTTGTTGATTTGGGTCTTGTTTCATATCACACAGTGACATTTGATTAATTAAAATGCATGTTTTTTATTAAAAGCTATAGTTTACAGTAATAACTATGTCTAATGTTTAATTCTCTGTCTCATAATTTTAACTAAGTTTTGCTTTGAGAGCACATTTTCCTGAACGATTAAAATGCGATTAATTTAGATTAATTAATTACAAAGCCTCTAATTAATTAGATTAAAATTTTTAATCAAGTCCCAGCCCTAATTTTTATATATACTGTTATTTTGTCTTGTAATTGTTAATTACATACTCCTTTATTCCATATCATAGCAGTGTTATTCATATATTAAAACTGTCAACTGCACACTCATTTGGCAGAATAAAAGTTTGACAATTATTCATTTGTTCTTTGTCATATTTCAGTAACATTTATAATTAAGCAAGTTGTAATTAAACAAATGACTGCAACATTTCCCCCGTTAACTGCAGTAGACTGAAATGAATAGCTTTATTTGGAAATATAACATATCTAATTTTTAATGGACCTATTTAAAATCTTTCTTCAACATAGACCCCACTAATGAACTGATTAAGTGTTATTTTTTATAAAAAGAAGAGAGAAAATGCACAAAGGTAGGAAAGGAAAAGAAAGTAATAAAATAATAGGTTTTGTTAAATGTTCTTCAGATAATGAATTAATTGACAAAGTTTTTGCAGGGTGTGACAAAAAATGTTCAAGGTCAAGCTCCTGGGGCTAAGCCCCCCCTATCTCTCAATCCTAGTGACGTCCATGCACCCCTGTATGCTCCAGGGTAAAGAACTGCCAGAACTCCTGGTTTTATAGAGATGCTCACATGGGTGATGATCTGGCTGAAACGGAACCTCTTAGGGACATTCCACCCCTAAGTGAAATTTAGCCTGCTACCAAATTCCCCAGAGTTAGATAAGTGGGAAAAAGCATATTGTAACCAGTCCAGTCATTCGCCTGATCTGGTTGTACAGTGGGGCAAAAGAAGTATTTAGTCAGCCACCGATTGTGCAAGTTCTCCCACTTAAAATGATGACAAAGGTCAGTAATTTACATCATAGGTACACTTCAACTGTGAGAGACAGAATGTGGAAAAAAATCCATCAAAATGATCATGAGAACGGTGAACAAGAATCCCAGAACCACACGGGGGGACCTGGTGAATGACCTGCAGAGAGCTGGGACCACAGTAACAAAGGTCACCATCAGTAACACACTACAACGGCAGGGAATCAAATCCTGCAGTGCCAGACGTGTTCCGCTGCTGAAGCCAGTGCATGTCCAGGCCCGTCTGAAGTTTGCCAGAGAGCACAAGGATGATACAGCAGAGGATTGGGAGAATGTCATGTGGTCAGATTAAACCAAAGTAGAACTTTTTGGTATAAACTCAACTCGTCGTGTTTGGAGGAAGAAGAATACTGAGTTGCATCCCAAGAACACCATACCTACTGTGAAGCATGGGGGTGGGAACATCATGCTTTGAGGCTGTTTTTCTGCTAAGGGGACAGGACGACTGATCCGTGTTAAGGACAGAATGAATGGGGCCATGTATCGTGAGATTCTGAGCCAAAACCTCCTTCCATCAGTGAGAGCTTTGAAGATGAAAAGTGGCTGGGTCTTCCAACACGACAATGATCCCAAACACACCACCCGGGCAACAAAGGAGTGGCTCCGTAAGAAGCATTTGAAAGTCCTGGAGTGGCCTAGCCAGTCTCCAGACCTCAACCCCATAGAAAATCTGTGGAGGGAGTTGAAAGTCCGTGTTGCTCGGCGACAGCCCCAAAACATCACTGCTCTCGAGAAGATCTGCATGGAGGAATGGGCCAAAATACCAGCTACTGTGTGTGCAAACCTGATAAAGACCTATAGTAATCGTTTGACCTCTGTTATTGCCAACAAAGGTTATGTTACAAAGTATTGAGATGAATTTTTGTTATTGACCAAATACTTATTTTCCACCCTGATTTACAGATAAATTCTTTAAAAATCCTGCCATGTGAATTCATGGATTTTTTTTCACATTCTGTCTCTCACAGTTGAAGTGTACCTATGATATAAATTACTGACCTCTGTCATCATTTTAAGTGGGAAAACTTGCATAATCGGTGGCTGACTAAATACTTTTTTTGCCCCACTGTATTCTGTTAGCTTTAACTTAGCACAAACAATGTAAGTGAATGGTAACAGCTAGCATTTTGTGAAAAAGTCATGGAAATTTCTTGATAATGATCCTAATTGTTTTGGTGACTTCATTAATCATATAGACTGCAAAGGAAATAAATGAGTAGGAATTACAGGAGCTGTTTTAGACTTGGGACTAGATTACGACAAGGCGCACCTAGAAGGTGCAAGGACATGACGCAGCGGCCCCCCCCCAAAAAAAAAACAAATTAATGAGAAACTTTCATGACTTTTTCACACAAAATGAGGTTTCCATGCTTCAACATACATAATTTTAATTAGCAGGTGATTAATCTGCGGAGCCTGATGAGCTGCTGAGCAGGTGACTCAACTGTGACGAAGCAGGAAAACCTCTAAAACATGCTGGATAGCAGCTCTCCAGGACCAGGGATCTCTGTGCCTGCTGTAGGGGATATGGCAACAGACTGAAATTCACCTTAGGGGTGGAATATCCGCTTGTTTGATGAATACAGTAGAATCTGTTGTGCTTTTGTACTTGATGTTACATTTTTGTAATTTTTAAAATCTGGATTTTCTTATTCCCTAATTTCAATGTCAACTTGTCTAGAACAGATTAGCCATAAAATCCCGGCTGCAGCCTGAACCCACCTTGGCAGTGGGTTCCATCATTTGGGATGAAGACATTCATGCTGTTAGAAGGGCTGTAGCCAGACAGGCAGGTGCAGTAGTAGCTGCCGTAGGTGTTGTGGCACGTGGTGTGTAGGCCACAGATCTTATTGGCCCCTATTTGGCACTCGTCTTTGTCTGAAAGGAAGATTAAGAAACTTTTACAACAACAGGGAGGAAGTAATGTACTTGTCCAGCCTAAACGAGCATCATTTGCTTTAATTTCTTAAAGTGTATTTTCTGAGCATAAATCTAATCAAAATTAAGATTCCAGCTCAGATTTGAGCTCCTGCTGCATCATTAAAATAAGGAACATCTTAGATCCATCCACACTTTATTGAATCCAGCCTACTGGTTTATTCTGATTTTCCAGAACAAGGAGGAGGACAGCGGCTGCTTCCTTCTGCATTCCAGCCTAGTAAACTTGATCAGATGATTGCGTTGCAAAGTGGTTAAGTCAGGTTCAATCAGTAAATAAAGTCTGGCTTGCCAGGCTATCTGGACTGGCTGCAGAACACTCTGCATCCAAACTAAACTCAGTCATCTCCTTTATCATTTACATTAAAGCAAACTGCTTTTATCTGTGTTGTCAGTTTTATCATGTTTAGAGGTTTTTTTTGTAATTCAGTAAGTTTTAATACCAAATTGTGCTCTATAGTTCATCAAAACAACAAAAGGGTTAAAATCGTTTGTTTTATTTCTCATTTACTCTGCAGTTCCAACTCATGTCGGAGCAGTTTATAAACGGTGACTCAAACATAGATTTAACATGGTAAATGACATTAAATGAGATGGAACGTGTATACCTTGACAGAAGGTTCTTCCGTTTCCAACAAATCCGTACTTGCAGTTGCAAACTTTTCCGGATCCGTCCGGCTTGTCCTCACATGTGGCGTTAGCGTGGCAGGATGAGCACACGTCCAGCTGAGTTTGGCCCTCTGCTGAGAAAACTGCAGGAGGAACATCTGTCCGTCAGCAGGTTGACTCCAGTAACCAGTGGGCGGGTGGGGGTGCTACCAGTGTCCTCACCTGAAATTCCCACCAGCAGAAACACCATGATCATTCTTCTGCTCCTTTCACCCATCCTCACTGACACGCTCCCAGCAGCTGTCTTCACTTCATCACCCTCTCCATCTCCTCGCCCCTTCCTCCGTTTTTATTTCTGTACTTCCTTTTTGTGGACCGTTACGGCTCTGAGCCTATTTGATAACCAGCTCTGCTGAGAGTGGGTGAGATGAGGTCACTTCTGGGAAATACTCCTTTTTCAATGATCTTCTTTCAGCTGCTGCAAAGGAGCCTTCACCCATCCTCTTGTCACTCATCTCCAGCTGCTGATTGGTCCGGGCCGGCTCTGGTAAACTGCACACTCACACTGTGGCAGCTGATAATGGTTAAATATAGACTCACATACCTGATGGCTAAAGCCTGTATTTGCTGTTTGATGGAATAAATACAGCATCACTAGAATAGGACTTTTTTAGGCACTGAATTTATGATGTGGAATTTTTATTCTGTGAAATTACGTATTTGAATTTTTTAAACCAAAAATAGGTCAGCAATGTTTTCACCCACAAAAATTCAACTGCAGTTTCATCTTCAATAATTAAATAATTCAACAACAGAAATTCAACGCAAAAATTTCATCAGAAAAAATTCAACAACTGAGGTGACCTCCCTAGTGACCCAAGTCAAAGTAATCGTCATTTGATCGAGTCGAGTGGCTTTTAGCCAATCAAATGACGCTTCTCTGATGACGTGACACAAGTGATGTCGAAGGTTGAAAAGTTCAAATACATAATTTCACAGAATGAAAATTCAATGTGTCTGGTGAGACTTTCTTCCATTATGTTTACTCATTTCCAATTTTAATCAGACTTTTATTTATTTATCTTAGGTTTTTTTTTTCATTTTTTAAATTATCTTTAAAACTTTATTCCTGTGCACCTTTTGTCTCTAGAAGTAGCTGCTGAAATAATAATGGAACTTTATGCCTCACTCAGTCATGTGTGTGTGTGTGTGTGTGTGTGTGTGTGTGTGTGTGTGTGTGTGTGTGTGTGTGTGTGTGTGTGTGTGTGTGTGTGTGTGTGTGTGTGTGTGCGCGCGCGCGTATAAGTTGTGTGGGGGTTGTGTGAGTTGTGGGAGTGGGAGATAAGTCTGGTGAGCTTCTATCTCTCAGCCCAGCAGGGTCCTAACTGGGGTTCGCTGTCCCAGATAGGAACAAGACACACACACACACACACACACACACACACACACACACACACACACACACACACCGCCCATCTGAACACTACGTTACAGTCAGCAGGATGTTATCCACTTTAGATAAAAGTTGAATCCATACTAAATTTGAGCCAAAAAATATTTTTATTTGTCTGGATTTGCTTTCCTTTTCTCTGTGAAATAAAACTCAAACTTGTGGATGCTGTGAGATTGCCTGCGTTTGTAAAGCCGCTCATGATCCATTAGACACATTTTAACAAGACATCTACAATAGATCAACACTGGAGCCCACTGGATTCAACATGGCCGACACAGAAGATCAACGCAGCACACTGGATTGGAGCTGCTGTGACTGATGGAGACAAGCTGAGTTAGGAGGAGCTTCGCGTGTTTGATGTAAACGTCCCTCCTGAGTCAGAAACACATGCAGTAGGAATGAGAATATAGACCAAAAGTTCATTTATGTCAAGAATTCAACTTAAAAGGTGAAACTAATCTACAGACTCATTCCATGCAAATCCAGATGTTTCAGCTTTTATTAGGTATAACTGTGATGATTAACGCTTACAGCTGATGAAAACCCCACATTCAAAATCTCAGACAATCTGATTATTGTGAAAAGGATCAATATTCTAGACTCAAAGTGTCACAGTCTGATCAACTGATGAATCCAGAAAACCTGCTAAGGGTTCTTGAGCCTTTAGATGGTCTCTCAGTCTGAGCTGGATTACTGACAAATGAACGTTTGCACCAGATTCTAGTTTGTTTTAGTTTCTTCTGTAATTACTATACTTTTGACAATGAGATAAAACCTATCATGAAAGATGCTGAACCACCTACCTGAGAAAAAAGGACCAATAATTAACTTCTATGTTGTGAAGATCAAGTTTTCCCTAAAAGTTCTAAAAAAGAAGTTCTTCTTGGCACTGAGCCAAAGCTATGTGATTCTCCTCTCTTCTTCTCTTTTTGTTTCTCATCCATCCATCCATCCATCTATTCATCCATCCATCCCTTCTCTTCCGCTTATCCGGGGTCGAGTCATGGGGGCAGCATCCTTAGCAGGGAGGCCCAGACTTCCCTCTTCCCAGCCACTTGGGCCAGTTCCTCTAGGGGAAATCCCAGGTGTTCCCCAGCCAGCTGACAGATATAGACCTTCCAGCGTGTCCTGGGTCTTCATTTAGGTCTCATCCTAGTTGGACATGCCTGTAAAACCTCACCAGGGAGGCACCCAGAAGCAACACATTCTCACAACCTAAGCGTCAAAAAATGACGTGGGGTGACCAAGTCTTTTTTTCCGACGCACTGGGAGCCAGAGTGCCAGAGCGTTGGTATCCGATGCCCGTGGTAAAACGGAGATTTCACCAACATTTCACTTCTAACCTCTGGCGATTTAACCTTCCCCTCACCCCCATCCTATCCATAACCCAGTATGTTAGTCTAAATTTCCAGCGTGTTTGAGAGGAACGGTTAAACGCGAAACAAAGCTTTCCATGTGCAAGATGGTTAAGGTTAGGATGGGAGTGAGGGGAAGGTTAAATAGCAAGAGGGTAAAGGTCACAATTCGGTCAAATGTCCGTTTTACAGCGGGCGTCGGACACCGACGCTCTGGCACAGCACGTCGCCTCCCAACACGCAGGGGCTCCCAACACGTCAGAAACAAACGCTTGGTCACACCGCATCATTTTTCAACACCGCGTGAGAATGTGTTGCCAGGAGACATCCTGACCAGATGCCCAAGCCACCTCAACTGGCTCCTCTCGATGTGGAGGAGCATCGGATCTACTCCAAACTCCTCCCGGATGACCAAGCTTCCCATCTTATCTCTAAGGAAGAGTCCAGCCACCCTATGGAGAGAACTTTCAGTGTCCATAATCTCTTTCTTTCCGTCACTACCCAAAGCTCATGACCAAAGGTGAGGGTAGGAACGTAGATCGAGCTTGTATACCTCCTCCTGTAACATTTCGAATTACTCATTCATTCATTCATCGTAACTGCTTGATCCTCAGTAGGGCTGCAGGGAGCTGGAGTCCAACACCAGCTGTCCCTTGGTGAGATGTGGGGGACACCCCGGACAGGCTCCGGTCCATCACAGGGAAATACAGACAACGTGTTACACACTCACTCACACACACCTAGGGACAGTTTAGTCTCCAATCAACCTAACATGCATGTTTTTGCACCAGATTACCCACGCATGCATGGAGAGAACATGCCAACGCCACACAAAAAAACTGCAGCTGGGATTTAAACCAGCAACTTTCTTGCTTTGAGGCAACGGTGCAACTCTGTTATAATTTTTATTTGTTGTTTTTACAATTTTTATTTTTCTTATTGAAATGTATTATTACTTTTTATTATTTGCACCATGTGACATAAACCCCACTAGATAAGGTGAAGAAAAAATGTCTAAATAACTTTGAATAATACAAACTAAATATTTCACATGAAAAAATAATTGATATTATTTTATGTAGTGTGATTTGGTTTTATTTTGTAGTTCAGCACATTTTAAACATTTCAAATTTGAAAAACAAAAATTCGTAAACTTACCATTTTTACTGTAAATTCAGTGTTTGTCTGCTGATGTTATATTCAAAGACGTTAATAAACATACCACACTTAAATAACGCTCTGCATTTCAAAATGCTAATTAAAATATTTTTTGCTGGTTTTCTACTCCCGTAAAGTTAAAATCAATAACCATAATAACACTTGTAAGCTATACGCTAATTACAAAAGACGCTAATGGTATGTTAGACAAATTGTGTAACCTAAGAATGATGAATCATCTGGTGTTGACCTGTTGGTATGGGGGCCCCCCAAAAGAAACCTGCTTAAGGCCCCACAAAGGCTTGGGCCGGCCCTGCCAACAGATAATCTATGACGTGAGTCCTGATGAATTTCATCACCTTTTCAGGATTTAAATATCTGTAGCTCCACTTAAGACATCAGTCTGACACTACGTGATAGGAGGCTGAATGCTAGACCTGTAGTGCCAACGAGGGGCTTTTAATAAAACATGTTTTGCGACATGAGCGTAAAAAAATGGTATTCCATCATGTTTGAGGGTCAGTGCTGCACAATGAAATAATCACGAGTTTCATGACTCAAGGCTACGCTAGTTTATCGTTCTATAAATGAAGCCAGTCTATGAGCAAACATTATTAGTAAAAAAGTTGTCTTTATTTGATGTCAGCAGCTGTTCTTTCAGCGCTTTTTCTTCATCAGATTTTCTCGACATGTTTTCAGTTGAAATAAATCAGACTCAGAGCAGCAGGACACACTTGAGGTTGACGGTTTGCAGTAGTCTTTTCCTCTGATGAGTTTACCTGAGACACTGACAGAGGCCTCCTTCTGGTCGGGTCACAACACGCTGCAGAAGCAGCAGCTTTTGCTTCTGGGAGCAGCTCCACCTTGTTCAGGAGGAGCTGCTTCATGAGCTGAAGCTTCTTCTTTAGTCTCCGACAGCGAGCCGCTAGAGGTGGACAGCAGCCTCCCACACACCAGGTCAGCCGCCTTCCCATCCATGGCAGATAGATCCGTTACTGTCTTCTCCCTCAGAGACATGTCCCCATCCCCATCATCATCTATCAACACAAACTCTCTCAAACACGTGGTCCCCAACCCTTGAACACTGTGGTTCTCCACGGACTCATCGGTGGTGTAGGCATCCACAAAGGTGATGGTTGAGGACTCGGTCAGGGACTCGTGTGGATCCGTGTTGTCCTCTGGTCCTGAGGGGACCTGGCTGCTGGAATCCATCACTATAAAGGACTTCCTGAGAACGCTCTCATCTACCAGGTTAACCTCTGAAGCACCACCTTGACTGGCGAGCAACTCTCTCCTGGTGTGAGAGCTGTTTTCCATAGCAGGACCGTTCCCAGGATTCCTCCTGAAAGCCACCAGCTCATGGTGGATCTGGACACTGCTGCTCCCTGTCGGAGAAGAGAGGGGGACGCTGGCAGTGTCGTCTCCGCGTCTCCTCATCTAGTCTCCGTCTTCACCCTGAGAGTTAATGATAGGATTTTAGGACTCTTTCAACAATAACTCAACCCCTTAAATGAATGTTTAACCTGCTGATGATGAGTAAAACAATCATCCTCACAGTTTAGGCAGTCTGCACTGAAAACTCTAACCCTTTATGAGCACAGCCAATCTAAATATTAATGCCACTTTGCTAGTAATGATGAGCTGAGCTGGTGGGGGCTGGCGACCCGTGAAACTTTGTTTGAGATAAATTTGCAAATGAAATTTGAATAAGTTGCAGAAAAATTGAGACTAAATCAAGTTATTTTGTGACTGGACCTACGAAACATACAAAAGCCCCGCGCAGGAGGCAGAAATAGTCACGTCTCATTATTATTCACACAACTGGGTCAGACACCCGAGCTGGAAAACAGCAGTGGACCGGGAAAGCAGAACAAGCTGTCAGGCAGAGATGAACTCTTTCAATAGAGAAACTAGTCTGGTACTTTTAACAGAAGCAGAAATAACTCATTCCCTGAGGAGGAGCCATTTGAAGGTGGAGAAGGATGAATTGAACCAGGAAAAGACAGATTTCTATTTCATCCCTAAAAAACTGCCTTCCCGTTCCTTCCCTCAGAAAGGTAAATCCAGAGTGACTCTAGGGAATGACGGAAGCACAGAAAACCCACAGTAAGGTCCACGTTAGGTAGACAGAACACGTAACACAACCGGAGCTGATTTAGTTATGAGCTGCTTTCTGCTTAAAGCAGAACTTGATGTTACACTTGAGAGGTTCACATGCGTGACAGAATCAGGAGGCTAGAAATGAGCAATATGACGAAAACCTGCTCCAGTCAGAGTAATAACATGTAGACAAAACAGGAAACACCACAGCTTCACAGCAAGAGTCTTTAGTTACAGCAGCGAACCACTTCAAAAATAAACACATCATTATTTATCATTTATTAATAAAGACACAAAATCGCTCCTGTTCCACCTGCATCGCTGTCCTGCTAACTAACCAGCCCATCAGATTCTCTTTAGGTCTTTAGGTAGTAGAACTCTTTTACCTGAACTGAAGATCACGGAGGAGATGAGATGATCTCCTGTACAGATGAAGGACCTCCTCGTCCTCCTCCTGCTCCCAAATGGCTTTAAACAAAGAGTCTGTGCTCCTCCCTCCAATGACGACAGCTCAGTGTGTGTTCAGAGGCGCGGCGGCGCACACACACACCAATAATACACATTTTTTTGTTGTGGCACTTAATGAAATAATAATGTCTCACACACACACACAGACACACACACACACACAGACACACACACACACACACACACACACACACACACACACACAGACACACACACACACACACACACCGTCCTTGCATGTTTGATTCTGTGTTTGTTATTTTATCTGAGCATAAATGCTGGAAACAATGAAAAGAGCTAAATGTGGCTCATTTCAACCCTATTATCATTTATGGTTAAAACAATAAAGATGATGCGATTCAAAATGATGCAACATATTTAGGACAGCTAATCCAAGAAATACTGAAGTCCATTTAGAAAAAGACAAACTGCGTCTTCCTGCTTCCTCCAACAGACCATAATATAATTACAGATATAACAGACATCCCTTTATTATTATAGAGTATAGGGGTCTCCTAGAGCACAGCTTCTGTATCTCCCTGCTTTCCAACGGGAAACGATAGCATTATTTTTTATTATGAACGGTTCCAGCGGTGCAGGCGTGCATGAAACAGCACCTCTCCAGGAGCCAGCCTCTAAATGTGCTCATATCAATAATACAGGAGGACAGACCCTCAGACAGGAATACTGGAGTGATCAAATATTAAAAAGTCCTCACTTTTAGTATTTTTGCATTCATCTGGACTGCTTTGTGTTCCCAGAACCACGCAGCTGCTCTTCCTCCTGACTGCTGAGGGGAATAACCATCCAATCCTGATGTAGGAGACTGTTTAAGGTGTTTAAATCTACTCTTTACCTGGTTGTAGTCCATTTTCCACGGTTGTTTCCAATGAAACAGAACAGAAAAAATGATGTAGCTTTTTATTGCATTTAGACAAGGACTGAATTTACATATTTGATGTGAATTAGGACCTAGAAATCAGACCCTCGATGTGAGAGACGGAGAGTGCTGGTTGCTGCATGTGGAAACTCACTTGCTAAGCATCAGACCGACCAATAGAGGTGGGAAAAATGATCGATTCTAAGATGCAAAAATGATCGATTCTAAGATGCATCGCGATTCAGCCGTGCATGATTCCGCATCGATGCAGCAACGTGACATAATGAAATTTTCTCCCTATGTCTATGTCGGGGGTCGGCAACCCGCGGCTCTGGAGCCGCATGCGGCTCTTCCATCCATCTGATGCGACTCTCTGTGCTTGTAAAATAATGAATGGATGTTTAAATAAAATGCTTTATATTTTACTGCATTAATTTTACATCTGTATGCCAATTCTAAATGTAAAGATTGTCTGCGTAAACCTGAACAGTTCCAAACCGGTCTTACTGTGAGACCGGGTTGACGGGTCACGCTTGTGCGTCATCATATAGGCGCTTTCTGAGCTGAAGAGGATGTGAGACTCTGGGATTCTCCTCAGATGGCTCCTGGATGTGTCGCCACATTGGAGACAGCAACAAGCGCTATTCAGCCAAAGTTTCATAATCAGAGAACATTTTCTAAGTGACAAGTCTCGCTTCAGTCACTGGTGTCATCAAGCCTCCAGTTGGAGACTTGCAGTCAAGCCAGCCTCCAGTTTGTTTTCTGTTCCCCGTCTATTCAAGTTATTACGGGAATGGATGTGGAAACCGGATTTCAAAATAAAATTCAACTTCGAGTGAATTATCAGATATTTTAAGAACATAATAACAAATAATTTAGGCTTGTTCACTATTAGCGCCCTGTCAATATCAAGGCCATCTTATTTTGGATTTCAAAGTAAAAGCCCTGTGAAGTTTCATTTTTGAACTACTCTTTCAATGACTTCAGAATGCTCTTAAAAGCAAAAGTCATATTTCCAAAGAGCAGTTGCATTTTGTATCAACACTATCCAACCACAGCAATTTGAAATTGCCCATTTTGACCGACTCTTTTAACGATTTCAAAATGCTCTAAAATGGAAAATTGCTGTTTCCACAGGGTAATTCCACTTTAGATCAACAGTATACAACCCCACAGTGATACCATATGAATATCAAGTCATTCTGATGTTGCCTTCCAAAATAATGGCCTTTCAAATTGTCCATAATTGACCTAACTGTAAAAATAAAATGTTTTGTCTCAAAATTTGTGTGATGTCTAATGTTTGTCCCAGAGAAAAGTGGGCACTGTCATACATTCAGTGTGTAATTCATTGCGTTCACCCAAAGGCTACTTGTGTTTAAGCAATGATTGGTATGTGTATGCCATGTGAAAATGTGGCTGTGTTTACCAAATGAAAACACATGTTCCATTGTGGGAACATGTTACGATGTGTGATGGCAGGGTTTTGTTGCAAATGGAAGCCACGGTTTAGGGATTTGTGTGTTATGTTTGGGGTTTTGTGTGTGCAGTTATGAAAGAAACTGTCATGGTCTGCGTCTGTCTTCCCTTCGGTGTCTCATAGCGTCCTCATGTGTCTTTTGTCTGTGTCTCAGTTAAGTGTCTTATGTTGTTACCCTTTTTAATCATTCCTCCCAGGTCAGCTCCAGCTTCTTTGTCCCCAGCTCGGTGTGTGTGTGTGTGGTTATGTGTGTGTGGGTGTATGTGCTATGTCCTCCTCCAGCCAGTTTATGTGAACCCTTCCCTCTGTCTTTAGATAATTGTTTAGTTTTGTGTTTAGGTATCTGCCCTCCTCTGTTTCTGCTTCCCCATTTAGAGAAATTGTTGTCACCTGTCTTCCCTCCAGCCCTCACTCCACACACCTGCTTCCTGTTTCCCTAATTGTTCCTCCCAGTCTATTTAAGCCCTGTCTTGTCTTTGTCTTGTGTCGGTCCATTGTATGTGTATTCTGTCAGTGTTTGCTCGTGCTCTTGGTGAGCTTTGTTTCTCCAGCTATGGAGTTTTGGACTTTAGGCTCACTGCCTGGATTTATTTCTGTTCCTCCTTCAAGAATAAAGGATTTTACTTTTCATCATCTCCTGCCTCGTGTCATCCTGGCTAGCTGCATATTTGGGTCCTAACATCCTCAAAACGTGACAAACGCACAGTTTTGAAAAATGCGTTTTAGCAATCGAGAAAAACTAACAATTTCAAAATGCTCTTAAATAGATTTTTGCTGTTTCCTCAGGATGACTACATGTTCGATCAATAGTATACAACCACACAGTGAGTCCATATCAATATTAATGCAGTCTGATTTCATTTATTAAAATTTACTGAAGTGGATTTCTTGTCTTTACATATTAATGACACAATCTTTTCTTTGTATTTGTAATGTTATGAAATAGAACCATTTTCATAAAAGTAAGACAGGTAAATCTGTTTATCTTTGAAAACAAATCCCAGAAAAAGGGAACAGCTCAATACAAGGAGAGTAAATTGCAAAGTCCAAAAGGTGCAGTCATGATACCATTAAAGGTGCTTGCTAACCCAAAGCCCTGCATGTGTGGCGGTGTGATGGAGTGGGGATGAGGAGGGGAGGAAAGTGAAGGCAAAGTACTCTCTCGTGTGGCCAGGTCCCCCGCTGACCCAAGTAGGCACCCCTGGAAGCCACAAATGCCCATCTGGACGGGGGCCTACATTAGCACCACCACCAAGCCCCACGCAGCCTGGCGTGGTGGGCGCACATCGTAACCCACCACAGAGGAAAATACATCCACCCAAACATTCAATAATCTCTGACTGCATAAGACAAAAGACACCACGGCTGAGTTTATTCTCCACCTCTGTACTAATTTTAAACTTAACTATAGTCATTTTTTGTGGGATTTAAATGTGGTGAACACCTGACAAAGTAAAAAGAAAAAACAATACAAGACTATTATAAATTAAAGGGCCTTGGAGATGTCATTCAAAATAAAACCAATGCACATCAAAACATACATGTGAGTAACAGAAAGAATAAAAAACATTTCAGAATAATTCTAAGGTGGAATTACCCTGTGAAAAAAGAAATGATTCTTTTTAGACCATTTTGAAACTGTTCCAGGGGTAAGTCTGATATGGGCAGTTTGAAAATGCTTTTATTTTTGAAAGCAAAATCAGAATAACTTGATATTGATATGGTATCACTGTGGGGTTGTATACTGTTGATCTAAAGTGGAATTACCCTGTGGGAACTGCAATTTTCCATTTTAGAGCATTTTGAAATCATTAAAAGAGTCGGTCAAATATGGGCAATTTCAAATTGCTGTGGTTGGATAGTGTTGATTCAAAATGCAACTGCTCTTTGGAAATATGACTTTTGCTTTTAAGAGCATTCTGAAGTCATTGAAAGAGTAGTTCAAAAATGAAAATTCACAGGGCTTTTACTTTGAAATTTAAAATAAGATGGCCTTGATGTTGACAAGGCACTAATAGTGAACAAGCCTAAATTATTTGTTATGCTCTTAAAATATCTGATAATTCACTCGAAGTTGAATTTTATTTTGAAATCCAGTTTCCACATCCATTCCCGTAATAACTTGAATAGACGGGGAACAGAAAACAAACTGGAGGCTGGCTTGACTGCGAGTCTCCAACTGGAGGCTGGCTTGACACCAGTGAAAAAAGGCAGAGGCGGCCCGGGGACAGCGTGGTCTGATCAAAGCCATGACTGAACCCTAACCCCATCACAAAAAGAGAAGACAAGAACTTACGAGTTATAAAAAAATATGTTTTTGTTTTTGTACCTGACATGAGAGGCCCTTTCAGCAGGTAGGCAGTCTTAGGGATCAGCCCAGTGACATGATGACTGAGCACCGGTCCAAAACAAACAAACAAACAAACACACAAACAAACAAAAACAACACCGGGCCCTGCAGTCCAGACCCCGATTAGCCACTCCGGGCCTGTTTGAGGCTATCAGTAGTAAACTCTACCATGGACATAATTTTCACTTTAGAAGTTGGGGGGGGGGGGATCTTTACAGTATGCTCTAATGGTAAACAGGCTTCAACACAAACAGTTGTTTTCCGCTTGGTCCTAGAGCTCAACCAGTGTCAGTTTAATACAGTTGTGGTCAGAAGTTTACATACACTTGTAAAAAATATAATGTAATGGCTCTACTGAGTGTCCCGTTATTTCTAAAATTCTGATTTTTCTCTGATAGAGTGATTGGAACAGATACTTCTTTGTCACAAAAAACATTCATGAAGTTCGGTTCTTTAATGTCTATTATGGGTTAACAGAGAAAAGTGATCACATTTGCTGGGTCACAAATATACATACAGCAACATGAACTAGCAATTTTGGTGACTTAGAAACGTGTCAGTGAACTGAGCTTCATAGCATGGCCTCTTAACTTCTTGTGAGTGGTTATGAGTGACTACAGCTGGTGACTTCTCTTAGGCCAGGTAAATAGGGCTCATTGGATACAAACGCCCACAAACGCTACAATGGGAAAGTCAAAGGAGCTCAGCATGGATCTGAAAAAGCGAATTATTGACTTGAACAAGTCAGGAAAGTCACTTGGGGCCATTTCAAAGCAGCTGCAGGTCCCAAGAGCAACAGTGCAAACGATTGTAAGTATAAGGTGCATGGCACTGTTTCATCACTGCCAAGATCAGGAAGAAAACGCAAGCTATCACCTGCTGCTGAGAGAAAATTGGTCAGGAGGGTAAAGAGTGAACCAAGAATCACCAAAAAGCAGATCTGCCAAGAATTAGAAGCTGCTGGAACACAGGTGTCATTGTCCACAGTCAAACGTGTTTTGCATCTCCATGGACTGAGAGGCTGCCGTGCAAGAAGGAAGCCCTTGCTCCAAAAGCGGCACCTTAAGGCTCGACTGAAGTGTGCTGCTGATCACATGGACAAAGATAAGACCTTCTGGAGGAAAGTTCTGTGGTCAGACGAAACGAAAATCGAGCTTTTTGGCCACAATGCCCAGCAATATGTTTGGAGGAGAAAAGGTGAGGTCTTTAACCCCAAGAACACCATGCCTACAGTCAAGCATGGTGGTGGGAATATTATGCTGTGGGGCTGTTTTGCTGCCAATGGAACTGGTGCTTTACAGAGAGTAAATGGGATAATGAAGAAGGAGGATTACCTTCACATTCTTCAACATAACCTAAAATCATCAGCACGAAGGTTGGGTCTTGGGCGCAGTTGGGTGTTCCAACAGGACAATGACCCCAAACACACATCAAAAGTGGTAAAGGAATGGCTAAATCAGGCTAGAATAAGGGTTTTAGAATGGCCTTCCCAAAGTCCTGACTTAAACCCCATTGAAAACATGTGGACAGTGCTGAAGAAACAAGTCCATGTCAGAAAGCCATCAAATTTAACTGAACTTCACCAATTCTGTCAAGAGGAGTGGTCAAAGATTCAACCAGAAGCTTGCCAGAAGCTTGTGGATGGCTACCAAAAGCGCCTGATTGAAGTGAAAATGGCTAAGGGACATGTAACCAAATATTAGCACTGCTGTATGTATATTTGTGACCCAGCAAATGTGATCACTTTTCTCTGTTAACCCATAATAAAGACATTAAAGAACCAAACTTCATGAATGTTTTTTGTGACAAAGAAGTATCTGTTCCAATCACTCTATCAGAGAAAAATCAATGTTTTAGAAATAACGGGACACTCAGTAGAGCCATTAAATTATATTTTTTACAAGTGTAAATTACAAGCGTAATATTGTTTTTGGATGGTAAAAAGTGCAGGGGTCAAAACTTGACTATGGAAGAAGTGTGTGTGTGTGTGTGTGGGGGGGGGGGGGGGGGGGTTAATGTAAAAAAATTTCATTAAAATAACAATAACTGACATTATCATACCGAGGACGTTGTCGCCCTCTGCTGCCCGCTCTACCCTCTCCGATGATGCAGTCCCGTGCACGATCCGAGTACGAGAAAACCCCATCGTCTCTGTTCATGATCCCCCATCCACGTAAATGACTCCACATTTAAGTCCAGCTGATATCTCTTCTTTTGGGTGTACTAGTCTGTTTCTAACTGTTGTGTATGGTTTTGTTGGTGTGTTTATGTTTTGTTTTTTCCTTGTTGCTCTTATTTTTTCTGTTATGCCTTTGATGTATGGTAGGGTTATCACTGGTTTTGGTTCTTGTCTTTCTGGGTTTCTGGTTCTTTGCTTAGGTTGTTCTTTTCTTTCTGTTGTTGTTTGTTGTTTTCCTTTGTTTATTGCCCATGTCGGGTATCTGCAGGTGTTTAAAGCGTGTTGTATGTGTTTGTCCTCTTGTTTACGGTCTCTTTCTTCTGTTACCATGTTTGCTCTGTGATACAATGTTCTGATTCCAGACATTTTGTGTATGGTGGGGTGTTCTGGTGTCCGTAATAGATATTGGTCTGTATGTGTTGGTTTTCTATATGTGTTTATGTTCAGGGTCTCGTCGGTCTGTCTGCTTATTTTCATGTCCATAAATGCTATACTGCCTTCTGTTTCTGACTCATATGTGAACTTTATGTTGCCTGTGTCATCATTGTTATTTAAGTGTTGTGTTAGTGTTTCTGTTTGTCCTTTTGGTATGATTTCCAGTATGTCGTCTACGTAGCGTTTCCATATTTTTATTTTGCAGTTTGGGGGGGCAGTGGCTATGGCTTTTTGTTGTCCCTTGCCCTGCCTCCATCTAAAAAGGCTAGGTTATCCAGTTATCTCTGTAGTTATAGGCTTAGACTGCTGGAGGATACACTGACCACTTTTCACACTCTACTACTTTCTTCAACAATCTGCTCTTTGACTGCATTATTTCATGCTACTTCAGCTGTTACCTTTATTTTTTCTCCCCAGAAGCTACAATGATGTTCTGCTGAGCTGTGATGGCTTCATGGAGGGGGCCATCGTCTAGCACACTGTTGCTAACCACTTAAACTTTCTCCCTCTCCTGATAACTTTTTGCTTTCCTTGATGTTGGATGTGCTACTGCTAGTTTAATTATAGATCCACTAGGATAAATACAATAAAGTTTATCTCTCACCAAATAGAATATTTACAAAGAAATCACAATGTAACCATAGAAACATTGCTTGGTGTGTGTGTGTGCGTGCGTGCTCTGTCTTCTCCATCCCCAGTGAGTCATGGCGATGGTTGCTTATACGGAGCCAGGATCATCTGGAGGTTTCTTCCTGTTAAAATGGAGTTTTCCTCTCCACTGTCACTAAATGCTTGCTGCTGTAGGCTGTGCGCGCAGGTAGCCCGCTCTCCGTGTCACTACTCTTAAGTATTTAACATGAAGGTAAACTAAACTTGGGAGTTTATTGCTATTCAGTACATTCGTTTTCAGCAACTGATGAGAACGGCAAATATAAAAATAAGCTAAATATCCTGAACACACAGAGAGCGAAGAAACAACTGCTCTTATTCCCCATTTTCATTGCACCTACGGCAAACGCATAGGGATAAAGGCCGCGCAATTTGAGCCTCGAAACTTCTTTATTCTTGAGCATTTTCACAAAATACACACAATTTTAATTTATTTACAGAATTAGAGATTATGAATCACACTGTAATAGTCGGAATTGGTGACATATATGAACCTGCTATCTCATCGTTTTTATCTGTGGAAAAAGACTTGTAACTGAAAACTTTGTCCATCCTCTAATAAAAAGACATTCATATTTAGGCCCACAAGGACTTTTGTGCGATTGTTTATCCAAAAGGCTGCCGAAGCAGACCTAATCTCCAGTTTATCCCAACTTCATCTTGTTATCCAAACAGAAGCAACAGCACGATGCAGACTGCGTTCACGCCGATCAGAGGCACTAAAGAGAGACATGAGTTACATAAATGTTATAAACATTTGAAATATACACGCGAGTGCGTTTACGTAAGTAAACACCCACCTCTCATCACCGTCCTCACGGAGCGGATCAGGTTCATCAGCTGTACTTTGATGCCTGGTTCATCTCCAAATCCTCCAACGCTTTGGTCCACCCCCCAGCCAACTACAGAAAGTACATTCGCTCCGATTAAATGACAAGTTAGCAGCTAAACTCGCTGAATTTTAAGTGGAGTATGACACAATCATGACGAGCGTAGAAGCCCTGATTTCATACGTTAACACTGCTAACTAAACAGCTCACACAAGCTTGTAAGTAAAACGAGTGGAAAAACTAAAGAATCGATTAATGCTAGAGACAAACACATACTTTTACTTAAAAATCTTTCTTCGTGTAACACAGCCACAGCATTTACACAAAGGATGGCTGCTTGGATTAATGAATACAAGGTAAACGCCATAGCAGGGCTAAAGAAGCTAACTGTAGCTTAGCTAAAGCTCGCCTCGAAGGCTGACGTAGCGTACGGTGCGCGGGGAGGGACAAATGTGAACACCTTTTTTGCTCAGGTCAATGCTAACGCCATCGTATTCACTGCAACACAATAAACCAGTATTTTGAATAAACAAGGCAATTTTATCGTTATGTGAACACATTAGTTTTATGACCTGTGAAAATTAAAGGACAATGAGGTACTATGATGTATTTGAGCCATATCCTCCATCTCCCTGTAATTACAGAAAGGTGCATACTTTCATTTGGTAGTAGACTTTTCAAGTGAACTATTTGCAAAGTGCGTTGTTTAGTAAACTACAGAAAACTTAATTAAAATACCAGTTAATGCAGAAGCGTACAGCTAACATTAGTTTATAATTGATTCTGACAGAGCAATCACTGTTAAAATGTAGGCTAGTTTCACAATATTCAAACAATACTCATTTAACAAAACAAAAAATACAAACATATTCATGAGAATAAAAAATCTTTATTAGTGTTTTATGAAGTCTGCATAATATGCCACACGCCTGAGAAGCTTATGGTCAGAAAAAAAAGCTCTATCAATACCGCCCTCTATTGGTAAAACAATTGCAACATCTACTGTACTGACTGCTTTGCAAAAAGTTTACTGATAAATACACACATAATGAACTACTGTTATGCATATGCACATCTGGTCCACATCAGTGTTTGTAATGTTCTTTTTCTCACATTCATATTTTATAGGCCAAAGATAAAAACAATGTAATATTGGACCCAAACACATGGTTCAGTTCCCCCAAATCCAAACGTCACTAGGTGCACTTTAAGTACAATCTCCAGTGCCACATGGTAAACACATTTACATTAAGGGGAGGGACTGGGGACATGTGAAACTTGCAACAGCCAAGTAATGAGTTTAAGGTAGTAAATCTTGTTGTACATACTGTACTTCATAGACTGAACGAACACAATACACACATTAACACAGAATATCTTAGTGTGCAGGCACATTCACTCATTATGTACTCCTGTTACAAGCCAATTTAATGTAATTAAAACCTTTTTGACAAACCACCAAGCTAGAAGAGGTCATGTGTGCTTGGGCAGATAAAACAAGAATTTTTTTACTCTTTAAAAAAAACATACCTCTAAAACAATGACATATTTGTTGTCTTGTGAACTTGATTTCTTTGGAAAAAAAAAAAAGACTTATTATATGCTACAAACTTCGGGCAGTGGTTATATTCTGTCCAACGGAGACCAAGACAAGCGACTGAAACTTTTGAATGAAAATGCAAGAATGAGACATTCATGCATTTATTTATTTATTTTTTAAATAACCATGGTTTTGAATGACAGTGTGTATATATATATATATATATATATATATATATATATATATATATATATATATATATATACACACAACACAAGAATACAAAAATGCAGAAAAACAAAAAGGGGTGAAGGCTAAAGTCAGAATCAGTTCACTGTTGCATTTAAAATCTCCTGGTGAGATGTTAAAAGTGTCACCTTGGACAGCCCAAGGATGCCCAGGGTTTTGTCCTAAAAGGAAAAACCTTTTAATAACTGCCGATATTCTCTGGTCTCCGCCCAGCATGCTGTGAGGACCCTACCAACGTCTTCACAGCCAGGTTGTTCAAGTGAGAATACAAATGAACAAAACTAACAACAAGGAGTGTCATGTAATGGCTGACAAAGGAAATAATAATAAAATAAAGGAAGTTATAGAATCTACAGCCAGTCTGAAAATGCTGCTTGTTTGGAGCTGTGGAAAGATTTCTCACCAACATTCCTATACGTCTATTTGGAATCATGTCTTAGAACGACACACTTTCTCAGAGGGGGGAAAAGGGCATTTGTGGCATCTTCAGCTCAATCAAAATGTATAAACACAGTGTGGTACCTCCTTCAGAGGACAGACAGCCACCCCCCCCCCCCCCCCCCCCCCGACAGAAGACAGGGCTGAGCTTCTCAGAGAAAAGTCAACTTCAGTTCAGAATGACGGACTTGGCGAGCTGAACAAAAATCTTTCAGCATTCAAGCTCACGTTATTTATTGGAGCATCTTCAACAACGACAAACTACTCTGATATTTTTGGTATTTCCAGACAAAAACCAATATACATTTCATTTGTACCACAAATAGATCTAATATTAAGGATTTGGGGCAAAGCAATTTAACAAGGTGCATGACATAGATGGGTAACAAAGTGCCAATTTTTTCTTTCTGAAAAGTGTGTGTGTGTGTGTGTGTGTGTGTGTGTGTGTGTGTGTGTGTGTGTGTGTGTGTGTGTGTGTGTGTGTGTGTGTGTGTGTGTGTGTGTGTGTGTGTGTGTGTGTGTGTGTGTGTGATTTAAACAGGGGTGTGAAACTGGGCCACAAATACTGTGAAGTATGTTACAAAACCAGACTTTGTGACATTCTTCGGTCATGGAAACTCGTGTTTAGACACTAATCATCTTTGTAATGGGCTTATTTGGGCGTTCCTTTGCTGTTTAGGACATACTGGAGCAGCGTGCAGTCGGGGAACCCATCTGGGTCAGAACTTTGTCCAGCCATTGCAGGGGACCGTTCAAATGGAGCTCGATCCAGCACGGAGTGCTTGTGACAGTTTGCCGCCTGTAAAATGGAGACATGATTTTTTAACATTCTAAAGTGTGGGCTGACAGACACTGCGCACACCTGTGCAATGTTTTTTTTGAGAGAACATGTTACAGAAAACTAAATGGATGTCACCAAATCTGCAGGACGGCTCCCATTTCAGTCAAGAAACATTTATAATTAAACTCTTTGTAACTTTTAATGTTTTACAGTTGATAGTTACATAATATCCACATCAAATCTCACCTATACTCTGCTCCCCAGCCTTTAACGAAGCTCATACGGATGGTGCACATCCTTGTGAGCTGGTAGACGGCTTCAAAGCCCTGATTGACTGACTGTGCCAGCAGGGCAGCAAACTCTTGATTGTTAAAGATCTTTAAATTGCAACCTGAAAGAAGAGACAGAATAAAACAGCTCTATGAGTTTTATGCAGTCCTTAAAGAAAACACACTGGCACATGATTCTATCATTTGATCATGAATACAAATCGATAACTTAGATTTTTTTTAAGTTAGTACAACAACTTTAAGTTTAAAGAGCAAGTCACCCCCTACCAGATTCTTACTCAACTCCCACTTCCTGTTTGAAAAACGCAACAAATGTTGTTGCCTAGCAGACCGAGAGGGTGGAGCCGCTAACAAATGCACACACACACAGACTCACAATGACTTTGTGACATCATATGGTACCAGCTAACGTTCTTGGGTACTTCTTAGTCAATAGCAATGGCAGATTTAAATTCAAATGCAGTGCAGAGTTTTTACCTGACAACGGCACAACACTGACAGTTTTAGGCAGAAAATTAAAGTTTTAACTAAAGTGCACTAAAGTGCAAAACTATTGACTCTGCAGCACGATTAGACACGCATTTATATAGTTTATCAGAAAAAAAAGTTGATTTGGGGGTGACTTGCTCTTTAAACTCTGTTAAAATGGGCATTCACGCATTATTTCAATAAATCTGCTGCTGTGGTCTCTTGGCCTTGCAAGCCATCTTATATATGATGGCCACGACCCATCAACAGAGCCCTGTCATTGGGCAGAATCTACAGTTGCCTTTCAAACTCTCTCTGCACGCTTGGACAGCCCTAGGACCAATCAAAGCAGCGTGATGTATTGGTAGTGGTGGAAATCTGCCAAAGGGCAGTCTGCCAAACACCATCAAAGAAAAAGAAGCAAATGAATCCCTTTTCTAAATAAAGGACTTAAGTACCTCTATCTGATCATGTCTCAAAGCAAAGCCCAAGTGTAAATTGTCAAGTTAATGCTAAAGCTTTTTCAAGCAAGCGCCGTTCCTGAACTGCCACCATAGCTGTTGTTTTGCTTTGTTGCAGCTCTGCCATCATCGTAAAAAAAGGCTCTGCCATTATGGTGCAAACCCCACCCAACGTCTACAAAATAATAGGGAGTCTTAGTCATGCCCATCTAGAAAAAATAAATGCAAGTCAACAGAGCTAAAAACACTACTTTCTAATTATGCTTGTTATGTGCCATGGATTTCACATATGTTAATTTTAAGGACACATTCTGATGCCAAAAACGCGCTAATTTTCGAACGGGGGAAACATTATTTTAGGTTTTGTGTGAAAATATGTCCAGGACTACAGACTACATCCCAATTTAACATCAATGAATTAGACACAGAGACAAGCAGAGGATAAATGTAAGTTCAGCAAACTCCAAAGCCTTCCTTCAGGAGGAACGAACCACCATAAATCTGGCCAGGAGGTGAGCAGCAGCAACGCTAGAGGAGATTCTGTGGTGACGCCCTATATACGACGTGCAGACGTCTGATTTGTAGTCATGCTAATTATGACTTTTTACAAGCTGATAAATAGTAGGGGGCAGAGTCACTGGTTCCTCCAGAGGTTTCTGGCTGCTGCCTGCAGCCACTTCCTGGTCTGACAAAAAGCCATAAAATTAAGCAAAATGTTCAACATCACCACCATTTTTTACAAAGTTTGGTCTACAGGTCTACTCACACTGTTCATGCTATTTTTGTCTCAAATAAAGACCACGCCCCCTCCCTCGCATAACTTTTATACATTTGACATACCTGAAGAGCTCAATAACAGAAAACGAAGGACAGTAAAGGCTGTCGCTACAATTACAGAACGTATTTTGTATAATTATGTAAAAAGAAAATTATTTAACAAGGTTACAAGGCATACAAGTCATTGGCTATAACCTGTTTGTGTCTGGACATGTGGGGCACATTTGACTTTTTTATTCTGTGCTGAGACTTTGGCTCTGACAAACTGTTGGAGATTTTTAATGCATTACTGTCTTAAATGTTCCTTTTTAAGTAATCACATGTTAATCATATGTTGTGAAGTAGAAGTAAGCCACAAAGTTCTTCCCTCTTTTCTCTTGGCTCTGTGGTATGCGGCCTGATGTTTATCTGTAGGGGGTTGGGAAGGGTCTGCTTGACAACAGGGAAGCTAGCAGCCACCCCGTAACTTGAGACTTCCTTTTTAGAAGGTCCCGCCTTAGATAGAAATCAGTGTTAAGCCGGGCGGACACTGTGCGACTTTTTCACTTTTTTGAGCCGATTTTCCACTCGTGCGAGAATCCACAAAATCGGGGCGAGTTTTGCGCTGAGCGTCGTGTAGTGTACAGGGGGTTACGAGAGGCGATTAACACCACGTGACCAGCTACCGATCAGCAATCGTGAGCTCACACAGATTTCTGGAGTGTTTGATATTTTGCTCGTTCCTCGTGAGGGTTGAAACGGCGCAGCGAGCGGCTGCCACTCAATAAGTACCAGAACCGCTCACGACACATGCTCAATCATGCATCAACACCGCTCGCCCGCTATTTCCCTATTAACACACGTTGTTCATTTTTATTTCTACACATTTTTTTAACTCACAATGATTGGCAAGATAGCGTGTTTGTCGTGTTCATGTCAAATTAAACTGATCACAAAACACTGATTTACTTTCTTTATTTCGTTTTCCTCATCCAACCCCCATAAATCCCTGTGTGTCCCCCTGCAGCACTCCCGAAGGACAACAGGCAAAACAAGATAAAAAAGTCTGACGTGTTGTGTAAAAACTGCTATTTTTAGCATATATTTTATGTCTGACGTGTTGCTACCAGACGTACAGTGTGAGCAGTCAGGTTGCATCCGAGAACTGGGTCGTGCAGTGTGAGCGCCTGGCTTGTGAGATCTGCCCTGCGAGGAAGTCGTACAGTTTGAGCTGAAGCTGAGTGCTACGAGTGAAAAAGTCGCACAGTGTCCGCCCAGCTTTATTGGTTAAGTGTGGACAGTGATAGATTGTCCTTTGTCTCTGTCTGCCTGTGTTTCAATAAACCAGCTGAAGAAAGAGAACACGCCAAAGTTAATCGGACAAGGGCCTTGGACAGGCTTTTGGCTGGTTGCTCTCCGCTGTCTCCTCACAGCGTAAAAAAACCTACTGACTTCTCTCTCCTGTGTGTGGTTCATTTCAGGGTTAAGTTTCAGGATTTAAAAATACCCAACACAAACTTTAGTCATGGTTGTAAACCATTGCCTTCAGCGTATGTTATCAGGTGAAAACCTGCACATTTTTACTGGCCTTCCTTTGCCGATTTGGGATGCCTACAGCGCTGCACATATTAACTGAGCTGATAGATTTTATTTCACTGCCACTTAGCTAAATTTATTGACAACTGACTGATAGTAAACATGGTCAATGGGGATGCGCAATCTTCTTGCCCCTCAGCCAGACTCTGGGGGGTGAGGGCTTGGGTGTGATGTCATGTCTATAGAGCGCTGTGATTAGCCCGGCCTTCACTTAGCCAAGCAGATGCCTGACCTGCTGAGGCTACAATTGAGCGTGGCTAGACTAACCTGCAGATCTATATCTTTTTGCTGCTGCTATGGTTGGTTTAGATTTCTAGACTAGTTGTTGCTAGTATGAATAAATGCCTGGTGTAATGTCTAGCAATGGTCAGTTTTTAGGTACTGTTTGATCATTCAACATCTGGTCAAAACGAGACTGCGTGTGTTCCCTGAATCGGCCTGCCTTCATCCCATCAGCTGGAGCTCAGAGCTTCTCTGCAGCTCTGAACACATGATAATGTATTGTCAACCATGATTTTCTCTCCTCAAGGTCCAAGCTTCCCTTATCGTCCTACAAAATTCTTCATGCCTCTGAATAAGGAACACTCGCAGCTCGGATCAGTTGCTAAATCAAAGAATGATTTCTTAAATTAAATATGAACTTTTAAAACTTATAAGTTAAATAATCATTAAATAAATGTTTATTTATTGCTACTTATAATAATTATAATATAATGAAATGCTTTCATTAATCTGTGCTTGAGTGATTGAAGTTTGAAATGAATGTTATGTTATGATTACATTGATTTATATATGTTTCATCATGTTGACATGACAAGGTCATCACCATTTGCACTCACACAAGGACAAAGTAAAGTTAAAGAACAAGTCACCTCCAAATAACATTTATTTTTTTGCTGATAAACTATATAAAGGAGTGTCTAATCATGCTACAGACACGTGTAGTCAATAATTTGGCAGTTCAGTGCATCTTGGTTAAAATTCAAATATTCTGCCTAAAACTGTCAGTGTTGCGCCGTCGTCAGGGAAAAATTCTGCACTGTATTTGAATTTAAATCTGCCACCGATATTGGCTAAGAGGTATGCTATGATATCATCTCGTACATTATGATGTCATAATGCCATTGTGAGCCTGTGTGTGTATTTGTTAGTGGCTCTGCCCTCTCGGTCTGCCAAGCAACAGCATTTGTTGCATTTTTCAAACATGAAGTGGGAGTGAAGTAAGTTTCTTGTAGGGGGTGACTTGCTCTTTAAATTAAACGCGTGACACATAGATAGTCCTTTATCCCAGATCAGAGCATCCGGTATCAAGGAAGGCGTGTTTCTGAGGTTGTCTTGGTAACATTCCTCAACATGTCAACCTCTGGTTGGCTACACAAATCATAACATGAGAACATTAAAACTGGATCACTGGTGATTCAGCAGTTCAGCTCAGTTCTTGAGAAAGCTTCAGACCGGCCATCTGAAGCAAAAACCTCTCTAACCTATCAAAGCTTTTGACACACTGTCAAAATCTTTTTGCAACTGCGAAGCTGATACAGCAAACAGTTCCTGTAGAACAAGCTGATATTGTTCAGACTCCTTAAAGAGTCCCAGACACGCGGTTCCATCCACAACACCTGCTCCATCTGGATCCATCCACTCACAGTAAATGTTAGTTAACCTGTCATGTTTTAATTGTTTTAAAAATAAATTCTTACTTTTTCAAACCTGACTCTTTTCTGAATCAAAACGAAGTGTGTACTATCCCTGAAAAAAACAAAGAATCCTAGAATCTTCTGAATAAACACAGTAAAGACCAAGCAGGTTGATATTCTATATTTAGATAGAGTATCACAGCTTATTGGTCATAAGTAGAGGTAATACCATATTTTCCAGACTATAAGCCGCTACTTTTTTCCCACACGTTGAACCATGCGGCTTATAATGAGGTGCGGCTTTAGTCAACCAGAAAGGATGGATGCTGGAAAGTCTAATGAAGGAACGGTTAAAGGAGCGCTACGGAAAGTGCCCAGGAGGATTTTTTTCACAGTAAAATGGCGCTGCTTGTTTTCCCAGCTTCACCCCGGGATGACGACAGCAACACGGAGAGCGACACTGACATCGCCACAGAAAAGGTATGTGACGAAGCTCTTCTGAGGCTGTTCAACTCCGACTCTGAAGAAGAGGACTTCAGTGGTTTCAGTGCGCAGGAGGACGATGAATAAACTAATCAATAACTTTTCTCTTTTGTTTGAGACTGATCAGTTCAGTTATGTTCAGTTAAACTACGTTTTCAAATCAGTAGATATCTGCGGCTTTTAGCCCGGAGCGGCTTCTATTGAGGTGCGCTCTATAGTCCGGAAATGACGGTATATACTGAGCTCTTAAAGCACTCAATTTCTCAAACCCTACACTGGTGAATGATTTGTTGCAAGCTGTCACGCTCCAATATCAAGTAGGTTAGCCAGAGGAGCCATACCCAGTAATTGTCAACACATCTGAACATCTCCCCTCTGATTGGCTAGGAGATTGGCTGACGTCTTGTGGAGTTGCTAATGCTAACAGTTAGCCTCTTGTAGCCGAGCTGCGCCCTGCTGTTTCCTGGACGGTAAACCAACAGCAGTTTTCTGTGGTGGCGAGCCAGGAAGGCTCACTCTGAGTGGAGCGTTTTCCCATTTATTCTTTCATCGGCTAATGAGGCGATGGGGGTCGAAGACTATTTCAAAGATGCATTTTGATGTCATTCAGCATGCAGGTGAAACTCAGTAACCGATCTTATTTCAAAAACAACAAGTTGGCTGAACAGCTACTGAGGCCTAGTCCACACGTAGCCGTTTTTTTTAAAAACGAATATCCGCCCCTCCAAAAACTTGCATCCACACCACCTCGTTTAAAAAAAAAACTCTGTCCACACGTACCCGGATAAATACGTTGTTAAGGACATGCCAGACCTGTAGGCGGCAGTACTTCCCCGTTCTTAACCTCGTCCTTCGTCTGTGGTCTTCTGCAAGGAGCAGTAATTCCACTTGCAAAAACAAACAAGCAGAAAGCGCTTGGACAATTGATAAAGCGAGCGCAGCTCTGAGGCATCCATGCTGTCGGCTAGTGTAAACACAGGTCGCACACGTGATGTCAGCATTTTTTTGTCGCAGAAAGTGACATTGCGGACCTTAAAACTCCGGTTTTGTCTGTCCACACGCAGACACCCAAAACGGAGAAAACGCAGATCTTCACTTTGGCCGGAGTTTTCGTGTGGATGACAGGCCAAAACGTAGAAAAATATCTACGTTTTGGCAGATCCCCATCTACGTGTGGACAGGGCCTTAGTCCGTAGTTGCCGTAGCCAGCATGTCAGCTGACCAATGTGCTGAACAAGGAAGGCAGCAGCGATGTGTTTTTATGTGTTGTGTGAAGCACTTTGGAGCCGACTGAAGTGAACTAGAAAGTGTTATATGAAAAAAATGGATGATGAGGATGAAACAAAACTTACACCAAGATTCAAAAGCCCCTGAAAGACGAGTCTCTCACCTGGAGGAATTTTACACACTGTTGCTGGATGCCAGCCATACCGCTGGTTGCAGTTCGGACTCTGGACAAAAATAGCACTATCGCTCAAGCACTCAGCAAACACCTCCCCTCCAATGTAGTAAAGTCTAACTCCTCTTCCTGTTGACAGACAGAATCCCTTCATTCACTCATCAGCAGCACAAACAGAAAATTCTCAATGTAGCACAAATGATGAGACTTTAAGATTAAAACAAGCAGGAAAATGTTGTTTTCTTATAGTGAAGCAGCAATGTGTATCACACCTATGTGCCGTCGAGTCATCTCCACAGTGGCGTTCCTGTTTACGTTAGACAGCAGGCCCAGACAAAATCGTTCGGAGTTTGATGGATCTGTGAAGCCATCGACTGTTAGCGAGGGCTGAGAGGCGTGGAACGTCTCCCCCACACGCTGGTTGAGCTCGTAGTACGCTATAGAGCACCAGAAGGCTGGCTCGGAGTACGTCACTGGCTGCAGGTCTACAGTACAGGATCACACCAGTAAAGCTTATTTGGTCCAGAACATTTAGCAGAAGAACAGCTACTGCATGTGCTTTAGTACTGGGAGGTCCTCCTTAAGGGACGCTGGACTTGCTATCCAGATTAGTTAAACGTTAGTAAAGACTTTTACCCATGCTGTGGTTGGCAGGTGACAGCGTACTCGGGGAGAGTTCTGCTGGAGAACCTGACAAAGACAAAAAGGTCACAGATGTGATTGTTTGCAGCACCTAATCACAGGTAATGTGTGATTTGGGTTTGTTGTCGGCACAGTCTTGCAGATGAAAGCACAAATTACTACGCTTTTACAAATTTGTTTTCAGGCCTGATGCTCTTCTACAGCTGCCTCCTACCTGCTGTTTCCTGCAGATCTGACTGACTAATAAATGGATAATATGTAAAACCGGAAGAGCCTTTCAGCTGTTTATTGTTGCAAACGCGTTTGACTCTGCTTATTTAAGAGGAAGTTCAGCAGTAGCAAAGGTTTATGCATGTGTATGAGTGAGCTACAGGCTAACAAACCCCACAAAGGAGTTTTATGTACACACAACACGCTTTCTAATGAATTATTCTGATAAATAATTGACATGTAAACAGATAATAAAACATCTTACGTGGCTAGAAGAGTGAGACAGAAACACAAAGGAGAAGGACAAGCTAATCTAGGGTACCTGTGTCCATACTTTGATTCATCTGTTGTTCACTTGTCTCTCCATCCTCACTGATATAACCTGGTGGAGGCGTCTCTGTTGAGATTAGGCAAGAAACATGTTAGCGGACGTGTTGTCAAACCGTTATGTCGGTTAGATCTACAAACACAAAACAAGAAAGAAAAACACTTTCTTCACTTCAGTGCTGCTAAACCCACACATCCCTACCTGGTATATAGTTGTTTGGGGGTTCGATTCCTGCAGGAAAGTTTGTGTTCTCAGGTATGGAATGAGTGTAGTCATCAAGAGGTGGCAGATCTGGTAGGATTTCGGGGTGTCTTGGCACAAGAACAGGAGGCAGCACTATAGAAGTACGTAGAAGTGACAGGAAAAAGAAAACAACATACGGGACTTTTAGGTAGGGTCCAAAAATAATAAAGTGCTTTAAAAACAAGTTTTATTACAGAATGGGAGAAAATAAAAAGCTGCGAGGTCATTAGGAAACGTCGGTGAGCATTAAACTGAATATTAGAGCCATTTAATGGATTATCAGTACTACAAAACACAAGTTTCATAGCAGAAGGTAGCAGTGTCCAATCCAGACCACCCTAACACCTTCTCAGTCAATATCATGACCACACTGACCCCTTTCAAAGGGAAAGCTGAAATGTTGGTTTCCTCTGAATGCTAACTGTAGTTTGCTATAAAATAATACAAACGAGTGTTTCTGAGACAGCGTTATAGGTGCCTAAACAAACCTAATGTTAGAGTAAGGCTTGGTATCCAAACACAACAGAATAATTCATAAATATGCCTAACAGTTACACAGAGCTGAGCTGCCAGGCTCAAAACGCCTATCACAACCAAATATAGGTTGACCCATCAGCACAAAGCGTGACTCCGCTCACCTGGCGTCTCCACCCTCTGGTAGTGGTAGGGGTTGATGCAGACTTCATCCTTCTTCAGGTGGAAGGCATACTCACAGGCCTCAATGGCACGCAGCTCATGGTGGCTGTGGAGGTCCGGCCATCGCCATAAGCGACAGTAAATAACGTGGGGAAGCCCCTTTCTGTGGGAGACCTGCAGACGGCCATCTAGGGATCTGATTGAACAGCAAATAGTGAGGCGTGGTGAGACAGGCCGGACATACGAAGGGAAACACGGCGGAGCTGAACACAATGTGAGCATGTAGAGAAGGTAATGGAGATGGATTGAGTTCTCCATATCCGTCACCTCCAACATTGTAACGACAGCTAGTTCAGTAGTTGAGAATAGTCACCTGGTTTGGTCAGGGTAGCTGTATAGGCCTGATGTATCCCACTGTTCTATCGTATTTGGTGTACTCAGTCCCCATATTTCAGAGCAATTGCTGTGCACAGAGAAAACAACAAAACACAAACAAAAAACAAACGATAAACATGGGACATGGCTCCTCCAGAAATATCAGTATGGTGCATGAACATTAAAAGGCCTCTTTTATTGGAGTCACATGGTGAAATAAAGACAAATTCAACCACAGAGGTGAAAGATGGAAACTCCAAATAAGAGAAGCCTTTTTGACCAAACGAAGAGGAAAACCATAACGTGAAGTCTGCTAATTACACGATGAAGTGAGACAAACAGCATTCAAGAGTGCAAATAACCCAAAGTCTCGTCACTAGTGACAGACAGCATGTGTCTGGAGACATTCAATCAAAGTGCTCATTGGCAGAAAAGAAGGAAATAAGGATGAGGCAACCTTGGGAATGGAGAAAAAAAAACACCCATTTTCAGACTTTCTCAAAACATTCAGGAAAATGGTCAAGAAAAATGTGGAATGGAGACAAACGAGAGTAGTTGCTTCTGAATAGCAGGAGAATCACATATACTACACAAAAGTACTTCATGTACTACACTTCACGAATGTGTGGGATTTTAAACACTATTTATAGTACCAACCGACTAGTTCACGACGAGGCAGGAAATGGATTTCCACCAACTATCGCAGCATTTAAAATCTAAACTTCAAATACCCAATGATGTTTGGACTGCAGGAAGCAACAATTACAGAAGAATCTACCAAAATAAATCATAATCAACAGTGTCATTTAAAAGTGGCAAACTGGTTGAACAGATCCAGTAATGACTAATGAAATGCACCCGTGTGTTGCAGAATTATAATGGTCTAATTGTGGAAAAGTGCTTTCCTTTGCATATCTACGATGATGATGGTGGGATCTACAACCTGTTTGACACATCAATGTGTCTATTATCTACAGACGTAAACATCTGAAAAAGAACCGGACAGCAGAGCGGTGAGGAATGAAACCGTTAACACACTCTTCCCATTGAACATGAGCCTCAAGGCTAACTGATAAACACAACATGCTTAACTAAGAGAAAGCAACACATGAGTGCTGCAGCTGTGGATGAACTAATATTCAGTTTTTCATCCGTAAAAGTTTTAAAAATCTTCAAAATCCTCTTCATTTATCAACTCGAGCAGGTAGCCGCAAAATCAAAAACACTAAAAAGAAGTTCAACCTCCAGCAACAGCTGAAAAGATCAGCTGAGGTTTCAACTAAACCCATTTTTAAATATACAACAAATTATTTTCTATCAGCAAGTCAGAGATTTACAGTATACCTTGGGATGGTGACACATTTTGTGTTGCAGTTCTGTGTGGTGATAGCTTTCTCCAGTTCATCTAACTGGCCTGTCTTCTTTAGCTTCTTCACTAGGCTCTTCACAGCCTTCTCACACCATTTCTCATCTTGACCGTTCTGCTCCCCGCTACTTGCAACACCTGGTCCACTGGTGGACTTCTTCCAGCCTAAAAGCCTCTTCACCACTGGTGGGGTGAATGGCAAGATGGATGACATCTTGACTGTGAAAAGCCTCCAGAAAACTTGCTGCAAGTTTTCTTACTAGCAGTTTGGGCCCTTGCTCTGAAGAGCCCCTCCTGTGACAGGTGAATCTCAGGATGGGACCCAGGGCCTGCAGAGTACACTCAAAAGGTGTGGGTACCCTGAAAGAAAGCCAGACAAGTCACAACATTAGAAATAAACACACATTAACCCTTTCTGACAAAATCAGATATAAGGTTGTGAAAATAAACATATTCATCATTATAGTGAACAAAATGGATCACACCCGAACCATGTTTTGGGTTTGCCTAAAACATTGGCCGAATTTTTGGTTTTTCATTTAATTTTCACATGAGATCAAATGCACAAACAGAGCTTGTGTAGTGTTATAATCAGATAAAATGGTAAGTTATACACAAAACTAATACAGAAACTTCAATAACATGGCTTATATGACAGTAGCATTGTGTTCTAGTGAAGTTTGCCACAAACACGCTTTGCATCCATAAAAACCAGTTTGCACAAAGAAACAAAAAGAGGACGCGTGTTTCCTCTGCTGGATGTAACAGAGAATGGTGGATAACTGAAAGTTTGCTGAACACTAGCGCAGTTCGGGTGACTTGTTGGGTAGGCCGGCTGCTAGCTACCAGGAGGAGGGGCCTACTAAACTCAAACCGCATCATTATTTTTGCTGGCGTTCGCCTGCGTTAATGCCTAAATGACCTTTTTTAAACACAAAATATGGAAAACTTAAACTAACACATTAGTATATCGCAGCCAATTTACTGAAAATGTGTAATCTAGTCACGAAGCTAACGTTAGCTTAACTGAGCTAGCTGCCAGCTTGTTATCAAAAATCCTTTTGTTGTGATCCGAGAGAAAACCTTCAGACTTTGGTGCCTACCATCAGGCTTACACCAACAACTTCACTCAGATAAACTCACCATTAGAAAACACCAGCCAATAAAAATAAACGCCAAGCCGATTCATTTCAGCACAGCTTTTATCAATATTTAACTAAAAATATTCCTACCAAAGTGAGTTAGCAGCTCGAACGAACTCTTCCAAAATGAGCTCTGGCTCCCAGTGGCTAACTAACGGTGCTACATCATCAAAACAACACGCTTCAAAGTCGAAAAACCACATGAAAGCATCTCAGTAGTTACCCAGGTTTACAGCCCAAATATCCAGTCGTAGAATAACAGATACGCAAAGTTCATTAAACTCCCTGTTGTTATTAATTAATCTAAATATATACTGTACAGAAGGAAAACTGGTGGATTCCTCTCGAGTCGCTATGGTGGCTACCAGTGCTGCGGTAGCCTGTTAGCTAGTCCGGAAGAACACAACAAACGTGATGACGCAGTAGGTCCTGACCCCTCCTCCGGTTGGACAGGAATTGAAAGGTCACCCCAAAATTATCTGTTAATAAAAAAAAAAGTTATTTATTGTAAATAATAATAATAATAACAACAATAATTATAATTATTATAATTATTATAATAATAATCTACAGATTTACAACTATTACACTTTCTTCTAAATAAACAACAAAACAAAGACCTTTCATAAAACTCAAGTATAGATGTGTGTGATCCGAAAGAAAAGCTCCTCCCCTCACCCAGGTGTTCAATTAAGGTGAATTAGCCTCACCTGCTATCTTTATAAGATAACCACTTCCAGCCCTATGCACGTGTCCGGTCCGTTTCAGTCTGTCGGTGGCGATGAGTGGATGGGTATGTCTTTGTGTGGCTTTATTAGCAGCGTGCTTGCAAGGTAAGAACATTACATTAAAATATGACATCTGTTTCTTCATGGCCCCCTCTCTGTTGTGACAAACCACACTTTCTTGTTTCAATTAGTTTATTCAGCTGGAAGCAGCCTTATGAAGTGCAAACTGGGCACTAAACTGTGCAAGGATGGCTCTGAATGTATCTCCTATCGACATGTGTGTGATGGAGAGAAGGACTGTAAGGATGGATCAGATGAAGAGGATTGTGAATCAGGATGTGGTGATGGTATGAGAAACTGTTCAAGTTGTTAGATATATAAAGATGTTTTTTTTTTTTTAATTTCAATTAAAAAGTCAATTTCTGGCAGCTTACAGCAGTCATGTTTGCAAAAGGACAATTTCACTTTTCCACATTAAGAAACCCCTTTTTAAATATTTTGTATGGATCCTCATTACATTAAGTGTTTGTATTGGTGCTGAAGAGCCACTTTAGCTTTAAAATGTAAGAAGTCACTGTTAAGAATTAGGTCAAAGTCTCTGTCAAATGTCTGCACTCAGATCAGTTCCAGTGTGCCCATGGAATGAAGTGCATAGAAAAAAACCAGGTGTGTGATGGTGCAGCTCAGTGCCAGGACCTCTCGGACGAACAGCACTGCATGAAACACACGGAAAACTGCGCTCACCTGTGTGATGCCAAGCATCTCTGCCTCTCTGCACGCTTCGTCTGTGATGGAGAGAAGGACTGCCTGGATGGCACCGACGAGAAAAACTGTGGTATGTGACTACAGCTGTGGTCTGAAATGGTCTTCATATTAGTCTATAATCATATTGGCACTTTCCATAAGATCAACACAAAGTGCTTTCTAAGGAAAATAGATTAAAAACACAGCCTTCACACATTTGTAGCAGAATCAATGATGCACAACCATCAGGTCACACTGCAGTGATGACTCATGAAACTAAAGTGAGAAGGTGTCGGTCTCGGTTTACATCAGTTCACCACATGTATTTAAATGCATTTTTCATATTGAGTGTTGCGGATGTCTAGTTCAGACCTAATGTAGTCTGGGCTGCTACCAACTCTGTGAATGGGGAAATGACTTTGCATTGGTGCTTGCATTAAAATGATGGAAATGTGATTAATATAAATTAAGCTGTCATCAAACTCTAATGTAAAGCCAATCTGTTAAAGATCCAGGAGCTTAAAAAAATTGACTGTAGCGTCTGCTTCAGATGTGTTTAGGATGTCTAGCTTTGGGTTGATATACTTTCCCTTTTCTACCTCCCTTTAGTGGACCAAAAGGAGACCAATGCTATCTCTGTGCCTGCTGCCCCTGGTCCAGCTCTTCCCATCAAGTGTACGCTTGGCTCCAAGCCCTGCAAAGACAATTTGGACTGTGTCTACTATAATCACGTCTGTGATGGGGACGTTGACTGTCGAGATGGCTCGGATGAGGAAGACTGCTTATCAGAATGTGAAATTGGTAACTGATCTATACAGCTGCATTGCATATAAAGGTTTATAATAAATCTAGTGAAATCAGAAATTGGCTGGATTTATTAATGAAAAGGCTGAAAGTGTAACTGACCTTTTATACATGTCAATGGAGACGGCATTGGCTGCCTTTCAGGGTGTGTTTGTGTTAAGTTGGTGTGATCTTGTTTCTGCTGCAGACCAGTTCCAGTGTGCTCATGGAAAGAAATGCATAGACAAAAGCCAGCTGTGTGACGGTGTTCCCCAATGTCAGGACCGCTCGGATGAACTACAATGTTCCAAACACACGGAAGGCTGTGCTCACCAGTGTGACGACGGAAGCCTCTGCATACCTAGCAGCTTCCTATGTGATGGAGAGGGGGACTGTAAGGATGGCAGTGATGAGGCAACCTGTGGTAAGTACGAGTGGTAAGTACGAGTCTTACTTGGATGATCTAATGCAAGTAGCTGTCTAGTACCTTTGCTGTTTCCTTCTGAAGTCGACCAGGAGTGCAGTGCCACGGAGTTTAGGTGTGCCAGTGACCAGTGTGTATCTGCCTCGGTGCGCTGCGATGGCCACCCAGACTGCTGGGACCGCTCTGATGAAGAGGGCTGCACTAAAGCACCAGCCTGCAACACCAAACACAGCTGCCCTCAAAGCAAGGAGTGTCTGGTGCAGGAGTGGATTTGTGATGGACACCATGACTGCAAAGATGGCTCTGATGAAAAGGTATCCTGGACTAGTCTGTTTAAGGTGTTTTGGGATATTTTTCCATCCAACTTGCTTATTCAGAACTTTATTCAAATCAAACATTTACTGGACTCAAGAACCTTGATTAAGCTTTAACCTTAAATTGTGTCTGAACGAGTGACCTGATATTTTTCATTTTTGGTTCACCAGGATTGCCCTATGAGTTCACTCAACTGCGGGGACTTCCAGTGGTTTTGTAAATCAAAGACTATGTGTGTTCCTATAGTCTGGAGGTGCGATGGCATGAAGGACTGTGATGATGGTAGTGACGAGGCAGATTGTGAGTAAATCATTTACACAGTGGGTTACCGTGCATATAGTTGCTGAAGATTGGTGATGAAACTATTAGTGGTCTATGCCTGGTGTGGTCGGCAACTAAACGAGTTAATGTGCTCTTCACACCCTTGACCCCCCCCGCAAGGCTGTGACTCTCTAAATCCTGCCGCACACAATAGCAAATGTCCTTAAATAACTGTTTGCTCAGCAGATTCCCCACTGTGTGCTCCCAATTTTCACTGCATTTTCTGCCTCACGAGACGCTGAGATGATAATCAAACTGGTTTGATATCAAGACAAAGGAGTGTTCTCATGTGTAAAATCTGTGTATTTGAAGGTGGGGAGGTAAGGTGCCTTCCTCATGAGTTTCAGTGTGGCAGTCGGGAGTGCTTGGATCCAGCTCTGGTATGCAATGGTATTACCAACTGTGCAGATGGTTCAGATGAGGGAGGCAGCTGCCAGACTTGTACAGAAGTGGATCATACCCATTGCTCTCATGCCTGCTACAGCACACCACAAGGACTGGTGAGGAGCCTTGAGTACCAAAGACTTGGTGTTGGAGGCCCATTAATGTTTGAACATCACTGAAGATTTAATTTGCCTTTAAGTTGAGTAAATTTGTGTTTGTGTAGCGCTGTCGCTGCACAGCGGGGTACAAGCTGATGGAGGATGGACAGACGTGTGCTGATGTAGACGAGTGTGAAGACCAGACACCAGCTGTGTGCAGTCATATCTGCATCAATATTCCAGGATCGTATCGATGTGACTGCCATCCTGGCTTCATAATGCAGGCAGGGGGGAGCCAGTGCAAGATCACAGGTGAAGGTCCTTCAGACTAAGTATAAAGGACACATTTTATTTGCTCTTAGGAGGAAATATGAAGTACCAGTTGGAGATGGTCCAGATTGCATGTTTTGGCTGCATCATGGAGGGAGATGTTGTTTCCTGTAGTTTCACTAGCAACCCTGCTGTCTGAGCTTTATGCACAAAGGGAAAGCTTATTTCCCCGAATGTCAGCCCTTCTGTTAATGCTAACGGGTTCATCCATCTCTTAGGTGAACCTCTCTTGTTAACGTCGGTCCAAACAGACCTCTACTTGTATGGCTTGCGCAGCAGTAGCCTAGATGTCCTTCCGTCTTCTGCCAAGAAGGTTATTATGTCTCTGGACTATGACTTGAGAGATCAGAAGGTCTTCTGGGTCAGCGTTGACTCGGACACTATTAGATGGTCTTCAATGGACCAGAAGACTACAGGAATCCTGATTAAAGGTTAGAAAATTTGTCTTGTGTGAATCACGCAAGGGCCGAGAAATTAAAGTACCACGTAACTATTTCCTCAGGTGTCAGAGCAGACTCTGTTGCAGTGGACTGGCTTGGGAGGAACCTGTACTGGGTTGATGGTGTGAATAGTCATATTGTTGCAGTCAGACTTGCTAAAGCTTCTGTGAAATCACTTGACAAAAGTGTCATCCTGGATGAAGACCTGGATCAGCCTCGCTGTCTGGCTTTGTTGCCACAAAAAGGGTTGGTATGTTTCACATGAAATCACCTTTAGAAGCTACACTATTCATCCTCTTAATCTTTTAGGCTGATGTTTTGGACTGAAATTGGTAACGTGGTGAAAATTGAACGTGCTGGCATGGATGGATCAGAGAGGAGGGCAGTGGTCAACTCTAGTTTAGGCTGGCCAGGTGGAATTGCTGTAGACATGATTTCAGAAAGAATCTACTGGACAGATGAGAGACTGGGGGCAATTGGATCCTCATCTCTAGATGGGGACAACATCAAGGTAAAATCTGAGTGATTAAATATGAAAGTAATGTTTACCACCCTGACAATGGGTAAATTAAAGCCATTATTATACTGGAGGCAACTTGTGTTTCAGATACTTCAGATGAAAGAGACGACCAATCCGTTTGCTGTGGCTGTGTTCAACGACATGCTTTACTGGTCTGATGCCAAGAAGAGGGTAGTTCAAGCTGCTAATAAACTCTCTGGTAAAAACCGACAAGTTGTCCTAAAAAGACCTGGACAGCCTTTTGCAGTGAAAGTGAGTCTAGATGTGATTTGGAGCTGCTGCATCGTACCATATCAGTGAACCTCTTAAAGACACGAATCTGATCATTTCAGATAATCCACCCAATACTCCAAATGGATACAGACAGCGCTTGCAAGAAGATGGACTGTTCCCACATGTGTGTGTTGGCTCCAAGACGCAGGGCTGTGTGCAAATGTCCTTCTGGTCTCTTACTTGCTGAAGACGGTTTGACCTGCTCCAGCCTGATGTCTAAAACATTTTTGCTGCTTTTGTCTCCCTCAACAGTCACAAAGGTTTAATTTCACTATTTTCCCAGGTTTACATGAGCTTCTAGCATATTAAAATGGCAAATTAACAAGTAATATTTAAACTGAAATGTTTGAGAAGGAACGATCTAGTGCACTAGCTGTATAAGCTGTCTGACGCAAATGCACATGCACTTATCAGTGGTTTGTGTAGATCTACTTACAGTCTCGACAAGCAGCTGCAGAGTTGAAGGGCTGGCCCGAGCACCTGGCATTGCAAATCCCCAACATCAATGATGCCACCATCTTGGACTACAGCGTGCGTGATGGCATCCTGGTTCTGACAGATGATGGGACGGCTTCGCTTAATTCCCTAAAGCTGAATGACGCAGCGTTGATCTCCCAAGGTCCATTCCTCAAACTGCAGGATGATACAATCACTGCCATGGCCCTGGACTGGATAACACTTAATGTGTTCTGGAGCAGCAAAAAACAACCACGTCTGCAGGTCACGTCAAAGACCGGAGCTCTCACAGCAGTTATCATAAGGGATGACATTAGTGGAGTGGGCTGCATTGCGCTCCACCCTCCAGGTGGGACTATGTGTTTCACCAATCTAGATCTGCAAGATGCAGGTAGTAGTGCAGTGCTGGAATGTGCCCACATGGATGGTGCAAAGAGAAGAGTGGTGTGGAAAGATGCAGCCCAGCCCACATCACTGGTCTTCTCCAGTAATGGTGACACAGTCTACTGGGCTGACACAAGTAAGATGTTTCTAAAATCCGTTTCAAAAAACTTCCGCAAGGTAACTACTTGTATTGTCCCTCAGGGATGGGAACCATCAACTCTGTCCATACCGATGGATCTGGATACAGAAAGCTGGAGACTGTTGATGGTCCGACTGCTGTGGCTCTGAGTGACGACACCCTGATCTGGATGACTGTCAGCGGTAACGGCCTACCAAATTGCCAAATGAACATATGAAATGTCGTTTGTGCATGTGATGGCTGTTTCTACCCTCAGACATGACGAGGCTCTGGTATAGAGATCAACAGCAGAAGTTGTGGTTTGAGACTGGCGCACAAGTGATCGGGTTAAAAAGTTTCAGCAGGTCCAACCAGTCAGGTGAAATTGACTCGTCAGGTGGCAAAGATTTATGGACATGAGCATCAAACTCCTCACCAGTCTAAAATTTACTGCTTTTAGGTTCCAGCAAGTGTGCCCAAAACAACGGCAACTGTCAACACCTGTGCCTGGCCACTCCATCCGGTCGGACGTGTGGATGTGCCCATGACCACGTGGCTATAACTGACACTACCTGCAGCCTTAAGGAAGGCTGCTCAGCCGGCAGCAGACGTTGTCTAGATCAAACCTGCCTGCCAGCTGAGAAATTCTGTGATGGGCAAGTTGACTGCTTGGACCACTCAGACGAGAGCTGTATGTACTGTTGGGAATGAGTAGGAATGCACGAGAACTGCTTATAGACATCTTATATTCTCTCTACAGGTATCGGTCTAGAGCCGAAGTCTGGAACTAAGGCACCTGCTCTTACCCGGCCTCCATCTCCAGAGACGGAGCTGGACAATGCACTAAAGGAAGACGGTAAACTCATGAACCTGGAATTGGAGCACTGCAGCCAGAGTCGCTGCAGTGGCAATGGGCGCTGTGTACAGATCGATGGAGCTGCTGAATGCGTGTGTTCAGAGGGCTATAGCGGCAGCTCGTGTCAGGACCAGGCTGTGAAAAGCATGCAGGGTCTGATCATCTATGGTGCAGCAGGTCTCGGTGTGGGAATTGTGGTGATTGCTGTGATAGCAACAATTGTCAAAAGGAGGAGTTCTGCTTCAAGGTGAAAGCTTTTTAAAAAAAAAAAAAAAAATTTTTTTTCCTCCCCTGTCTAGCTTTAGTTGGCTGCTGGGCGTGTTTATGTTCAGCATCGGTGTTAATCAAAGCAATTGTGAAGCTAAATATCTGTTTTGCAGAAGTAGCCCAGAAGGAACAAAAGAGATGAGCATGTCTGAGCTGGAGAAAAAAGCTGAATCCGCCCCAAACACACAGACTGCCCAGACTGAGATAAGCAAAGCAGAGGTGCCCCTTCACTTGATCTGCAGAACAAGCTTGTTTTTTCATCAGAGTGTCTCACTTTCTTCTTTCTCTTCCAGGAAGCAGCATCTTCTGCAGACTAAATCATTCACATATTTTTAATAAATGGTTTGCAGTTTCAATGGTTTCTGGTTACCATCAATCCGACGGTACAACAGAGCTTAACCCAGTGTGTGCCCAAACCTTTGTGTGGCACTAAATGGGTTTTCTTTGCCCCTGCCCCCCCCCTCTCTCCATAACAAGTTGACACCAGATTGATCATTCCTAGGCTACAATTTGTGCAACATACTAGCTACAAAAAAGCTATAAAGTCTGCATGGCATAAATTACTCAATTCACAAAACTTTGGGTAACTTTAAAGAAACTAAAAAAAATCTGCTTTAAATATGTATTGATTCTCATTTTTGCTTTGTGTGGCAACACACTTCCCAAACTTTTGAAACTTTTTTCCATAAACGATCAAGACTGGGTAATATACGGTAATTTCAAGGGTTAAATTTCTCCCAATGATTGGGCTGAAGTTTAACCAACCCCTTACCCTTTTATTTATGTAGCACATTTAAACAAAGCATCTGATCGAAGTGCTGCACAGAACAATCACAAGATCATTAAAAACAATACAAATAAAAAACTACCCAAAAATATGGTACCCTGATCTGCTAGGTTTTTCTGGATTGGCTAGAAAGGCATAGACAAGAGAACCTGTCTACAATACGGACACTGAATTGGATGTTGTGGAATAAGTCGGACATGATCGGAAGGTGAGTGGTTTGATCTCCAGGCCATGTGCCAAAGTGTCCTTGAGCAAGAAACAACCCTGATATTCGCCACCACCCCTGGGTTCTATACAAATGGCAGCCCACTACTCCTCAGGGGTAGGTGAAGGATTTGGATCGATTTTCCTAAGGGATCAATTAAATGGACATCTTTTTCCCAATTGCTGGCACGTTTTCTGACAGCATGCCCCGTATCGTCAGAACTCTACACAGAAAACACAATGGGCAAAACCCTTAAAACTCCATTCAAAACAATTTCTTCCCTAAATTTGTTTCTTTCCAGATAACTAAAACATCACATGAGTAGAAGAACCAGTTAAACAGTGATCAGCTTATTGTAAAACATTATGACCACTTCTCATGATTACTGTAAGGCATTGTGTGTTCAGTGTTGCTGTACCACAGGACATAGTTCTAAATCAGTGACTTGCACGTAAATGATTTAAGATTGTCGTCTTCGTCTTCCTCCGCTTATCCGGGTCCGGGTCGCGGGGGCAGAATCCCAATTAGGGAGCTCCAGGCCGTCCTCTCCCCGGCCTTGTCCACCAGCTCCTCCGGCAGGACCCCAAGGCGTTCCCGGACCAGATTGGAGATGTAACCTCTCCGTGTCCTGGGTTGACCCGGGGGCCTTCTGCCGGCAGGACATGCCCGAAACACCTCCCCGGGGAGGCGTCCAGGAGGCATCCTGACCAGATGCCCAAACCACCTCAACTGGCTCCTTTCGATCCGGAGGAGCAGCGGTTCTACTCCGAGTCCCTCCCGAATGTCCGAGCTCCTCACCCTATCTCTAAGGCTGAGCCCGGCCACCCTACGGAGGAAACTCATTTCGGCCGCTTGTATCCGCGATCTCGTTCTTTCGGTCATTACCCAAAGCTCATGACCATAGGTGAGGATTGGGACGTAGATCGACCGGTAAATCGAGAGCCTGGCTTTCTGGCTCAGCTCCCTCTTACCCACGACAGATCGGCTCAGCGTCCGCATCACTGCAGACGCCGAACCAATCCGCCTGTCGATCTCCCGATCCCTCCTACCCTCACTCGTGAACAAGACCCCGAGATACTTAAACTCCTCCACTTGAGGTAGGACCTCTCCCCCGACCCGGAGGTGGCAAGCCACCCTTTTCCGGTCGAGAACCATGGTCTCAGATTTGGAGGTGCTGATCCTCATCCCAGCCGCTTCACATTCGGCCGCGAACCTACCCAGCAAGAGCTGAAGGTCAGAGCTGGATGAAGCTAGGAGGACCACATCATCCGCAAAAAGCAGAGACGAGATTCTCCTGCCACCAAAGTCGACACACTCCACACCACGCCTGCGTCTAGAAATTCTGTCCATAAAAGTGATGAACAGAACCGGTGACAAAGGGCAGCCCTGGCGGAATCCAACCCTCACTGGGAACAGGTCCGACTTACTACCGGCTATGCGGACCAAACTCACGCTCCTCTGGTAAAGGGACTGAATGGCCCTTAACAGAAAGCCACCCACCCCATACTCCTGGAGCGTCCCCCACAGGGTGCCCCTGGGGACACGGTCATAAGCCTTCTCCAAATCCACAAAGCACATGTGGATTGGTTGGGCAAACTCCCATGCCCCCTCCATCACCCTTGCAAGGGTATAGAGCTGGTCCACAGTTCCACGGCCAGGACGAAAACCACATTGCTCCTCCTCTGAGATTCAACTATCGATCGGACCCTCCTCTCCAGTACCTTGGCGTAGACCTTTCCAGGGAGGCTGAGGAGTGTGATCCCCCTATAGTTGGAACACACCCTCAGGTCACCCTTCTTAAAGATGGGGACCACCACCCCGGTCTGCCACTCCCTAGGAACTGCCCCCGATGACCACGCAATGTTGTAGAGACGTGTCAACCATGACAGCCCTACAACATCCATAGCCTTGAGATACCCAGGACGAACCTCATCCGCCCCCGGGGCTCCGCCGCTGTGTAGTTGTTTGACTACCTCAGCAACTTCTGCCCCCGAGATCGGACAGTCCATCCCCAGGCCTCCCAGCTCTGGTTCCTCCTCGGAATGCGCATTGGTGGGATTGAGGAGCTCCTCAAAGTATTCCTTCCACCGTTCAACTATAGCCTCAGTTGACGTCAGCAGCTCCCCATCCCCACTGTAAACAGTGTGAGCGAGTTGCTGCCTTCTTCTCCTGAGGCGCCGGACAGTTTGCCAGAACCTCTTTGGAGCCGATCGATAGTCTTTCTCCATTTTCAGATTGTTTGTATACAAAAACACCAGAGATGGAAACTGCATCAACATGTCATCTCCATGCTGTTTTCTGCTCAGCTACTGAACCAAATTCATTCACTGTGCTGATTGAAATAACCTGATGTAGTTGGAGATGACTCGTTGCCACAAATCCGCATGTCTGCAAAATGCACAAATACATGTTACCAAATACATTTTGCTGTATTTTCACACTGTACACCGTGTTCATCCACACCAACGCAAAGTTGCGCATGCAGTGGTCTACATATACAAACAGAAGAATTTACTGAATACAGTTTAGTCGAGACAAACGGCTATGATGCATCCTCTCTTCTGTTTCTATCTGGCCACAGCGCCTCGGCCACATCACAAGCAATGTGCTCAAATATTTACACTGTAAAAACACCAACTGATGCATAAAGTTAAACAGTCATTATTGGGTTATTGGAGTTTCTGTTCTGTTGAGGGCTGTGACTGTAGCAGGGGACATATCGCTTAGCCAATCCAGCCATGCTGCTTCCACAGCTTGGATAAGGGGTACTATATGGTGTGTGGATTTGGCTCCTATACTTTACATCTCCTCACAGAAAAACAAAATCTTAAAGAATTGGGGAATGGAGAATATGGAGGGAAATAACTAAATGTTGTGGGTGGGTGGTGAACCTGTCACAAATCAGAGCAGCCAGTGAGAACTGATGTTGTCCTGAATGGCATCAAACCCGAGCTGCTCTGGGCCATCTATCTGATCTAGTGGAATGAGTGTTGTGTAGGATGTCCAGAAATGTGGTCAGATGGGCAGTGTTGTAGGAGCCAAGGGTAGCGTGGTGATGGATGACACCATGGTGGAAACTGCTGCTCTAATTTCTTAATTGTAATTATGTGTGACAGGTGTTCTCTTTTGATGAGCTGGTATGGGCAACTGACTTTTCAGTTTTGAATGTTGAATATGTGTTTGTTGTGAAAACAAGATATTTCCTTCATGACTATTGTGTCAAATGCAACGATTTGTGTGTTTAGTATGTATGTCGATGTATTGGAGCCTATGGAATCGAATTGTCCAGTATGTATGTCGATGGTTTAGACAAGTGTGTTTTAAAACTGCAATGAAAGTGTAAGTCAGAGTTTGTGCTTGTAGTTTAGCAGAACTGGTTAAGGGAGTTAACATGTTGCAGTCATCGTGTCAGATGTACAAGTGTGTAAACAACTGAGGAAAAACTGTGAAGAGGGATGGGAAAGGTTACAGATGTGGTTCACTGAAAAAAAATTTCAATGATTATTTCTGATTATAATCGGTCACTCAGAGTTTTTCATGCAGGCTGAACATGAACCACCATGGGAGGGGCCAAAGGGGTCTGGTGCATTGTGAGTCGGGTGGTAGCCAAAGGCAGGGACGTTGGCGGTCTGGTCCTTAGCTAAAGCTGGCTCTTGGTACATGGAATGTCACCTTTTTTACTTATTTATTTTAATTACTGTTGTGTCTCACATTTCTTGTTTTATTTATAATATATATATATATAATATAATCACATTTTGTTGGATATTTTACTATCCGTATTAATTCTTGTTATTATACATGTTACGTATTTTAATCCTTCCAGTGTTTCCTCTGTGGAGCGCTCTGCCTTGGGACCGGTGGTCGGTGGCAGCGGCTGGGGCGCTCCTTGGGTAATATACCAAGCCCCCACAATGCGGCTCTAAAATGGGTCTCAACCCAGAAGTACCACAAATTGCAGTTCCACCCTCATCCACTAGGGGCTGGTGTCAGAAGCGAGCAAATCCTCATTGACTCCCATGTTAAAAATACCAATTTCACAGCAGAAATAAACATGTTTACAGCCTGGTACCAAAACATGTTTTTGGTTTAAATGATCTAGTTTACACTCATGACAACCCTGAGGGGGGTGAATTTTTTTCCTCACTCTTCTGTTTAAGTGTATTAAAAGCCTAAAATTCTGTACAAGTAATGAGCATCACACCCACGTGACCACAGAGCTAGCTCCGTGGAAAGGCCTCAGTAGAGCCTCGGTCTGGCCTGGAAACTGTTCTGGGATTTTGAGTCTCTGTGATTGTGTATTCTTTTTTGGATATTATTTGTGCAATTGTTGGACAAAATGACTTGCAGTGGCATTAATTGCA